AATGTTGCTCCAGACAAAACATCTCATTAGATAAAATTTGTGGTTTCGACGCAGCACCTCGACATACTTAAGACAAAGATACAAAGAGCGCAATAAGGCATTTCGCATCGTGACTCGGAGGGGCACGTACTTTTTAGTTGACCGACCCGTGTAAGATAAGTTGACTTGATGACGTCGCTATCAAATACGCAGTCCATATTTAATGATCCATGAGGCCTTGCTGACAAAATTACAGAGCCTGGAGAAGCTAACACATTAAGTCGTTTTATTAGCTGTCCACTGCCGCTTTGAGGCAAGGCGTTGAGTGTTATAGTATGTCAGAGTCCTGTTTTGCACGGTGCATACGGTAGTTAGTTTGAGTAAATCAACAACACAATTTGCTGTTCAAATCTTTCGTGGCGCGATCCCGCGGATTTGCGTCAAATACTAGTCCACTGTCCTGCAGATTGAGGCGATAAACAGTAAGGAGTACGTCGGTTTCTACCTCAAGCAAGGGTTTTGCCCTGTCAAATTTTTTTCCCAGTAGATTCCTATACTGTCGTCCATCAGGTGGCACGACACTAATGTACGCATGCCAACTACTACGGACGCCCCATTTAATCACGCCTGGAGCAATGACTTGTTACTAGAAAGACGTGCGTTAACGGGCTAGTGCACTAGCGCGCTGAGCAAAGCCCCGTCAACTAGCTGCGGCACGAGGCCAGGAGGACAACAATGCCCAGCATGAGTGATGTGGTCGGATTTAGTATATACGGGTGATATACTTACAAGAAGTTGTTCCATAATGGCTCCAGCCGGTCCTCAGCCGCTCGGTCGCTTATTTACGCAAAATTTAAAACTTTAATGAAACAGGCACGTCTTCCTTTTAAATCGGGTTAGTGCAAGATCTCTAATAGGTTGTTAACCACACTAGCAACGCTGGAGGATCCAGACATTGCCCACGGCTGGCTGCCTTGCTATGAAGGCCGGGCTGCCCTCTCGGTTCTGATATGAATATGTCGTAACATGCAGAAAGTTGGGCACCCCGCACGGCCGTGTCAGCCTTGTAATGGAGGCGTTTAATGAGCGCTCGCAGTAGAGCTGAATCCGGCCCCAAATCAAGGCTTCACTGGCTTGCATTGGGATGTCCGCATGGCGAAACACTCTGTCGACGCGGTGTTGCCAGAGTATTGTGATGATGACGGTCCCTGCGACCTCCCACATCGTCTTCCAGGCCGTGGCGAATTGATCGATCTCGTCGGGGTTACGGGCTACCAGCATTGCTGTGACCCTCGGTGAAAGGCGGGGTACGCTACGGTTTGCGCAGTGCTCGAGCCATCCCAGTAGGTGGTGAGGCTTACGGGGTGTGCTTTCTCAATGCTTGATGAGCCGGGCCCAAAGTGCCTGAGCACGGGGACATCCCCAAAAGAGATGCTCATGGGTCTCCTTCTTTCCTACACATTCTCGATACGCGCAAGTCCTGTTTAAAGGCCGTTCCTGATACTAAAAGTTAAGCTGACCGGTAGCGTGGCGGTACCGTGTCCAGAGCTGATATTCCGTCGTCGCGTGTCCTTGACCCCATAGATGACCCGGCGATACATCGAGAGCTGCTCGTTGCCATCACGTTTGCTGGCTCTTGAAGCCTAGTCAATCAATGGCCTACTTCAGCGGTGTTGCAAGACACCGCTTAGACGACTTAAAAACTTGCCGTTTCACGAACGAGAAGACGCGGCGATTGGGAACCATTGGCGGAGCAGACCATGGATAGTGGTGGACCTGTGGATTGGAAAAAAGACGACCCCATTTTGGATGAGCTTGCGCTCCGCGAGTTAAGTGAGTTCCTGCGTTTTCGCCTGGACCGGCGGCGGCTCTCCTTCGAACATCCACGTGAGACCATTGTGGGATTGAGTGAGCTCCCAACTCTGAGGGTGATCACTGTCGGCAGAGAGCGAAGTGCCCCGAACCCTACCCGGCCCGACCTGCACCCATGCGATGGCTTGTGTGAAAGGGGGCTGGCGCCGCAGCCGGAGCGGGGCCGGGCACCCCACCGGAAATCCGACGTCAAGGGACGGCGACGAAAGTAAGACGATGATCGCCCATTCTCGAAATTTTGCATGGGAATGGCGGGGGGCAAGGAGGTCCGTGCAAATGCCGCCCAAGACGTATTCCTGGGGTCCTGTCCGCTGGATATGGAGTTGTTCAAAACGAGACATCGCAAATTCTGTCATACTTGGACCGAGACAGCGTCGTTGCTTGTGGTGTGAGAATCCAAGGGTTTCCACTTCACCGGAAAGTCTGCCAGAAGTCTGCAATCTCCTGGAGCCAAACTCGACTGGCTGAGACCGAGAGGGAATAAGTACAGAGAGATGCAGCACCCAGTATTTTTCTTCCTACCAGCTGGTCGATGATGACCGAAATGTCGGTAGATGGTCCTGTACCCGTGCAAGGATGTCCTCCGTTTTGCGCGGGTTTTGGCGTCAGCGTGCATCCAAGCTCATGAAGCACATCAGGATACCGCTCGGAAGACGGTGATATAACGTAATTTACGCTCGGTCAATGCGGACTGATGGCCGTGATGTTTGCACCATGCGTAATCCAGGACACCCACGCTGAGGAGTAAACATCCTCCGGTCGAGTAAGTGCCAGTAGCGCGTGTTTCACCCGCTGGGTTTTGATGGCGACAGGGACCGAAACGAGGCCAATGCCGCCTGCTTACGGGGGGGTATAAAGGAGGCCTGGGGCGACTTTGTGTCTCCTGGGCTCGATCCTGTTGGACGTCTTTCACAAGAACTGTTTGTAAAGATGATCCAGCTGTGTGAGCGCCCAGCTGGGGGGCTCGAAGACCGCAGCCGTAAACAAAATCCCGGGTAGAACTATCGCATTGAGGATAAGAACGCGGTGCTTGAGGGTCTTCGATACTCGCACGCAGTGAGGAGGCGGCGCTGTGCATTTTTGATGCGGAGAGCCCAATTAATGTTGCGTAAACTTTCCTGTATCACACGTCTTCCTTGCAATCGATGTTTTTCTTACTCTGTCATTCACACCGTAGCATATCCATAGGCGACTACTTATCCAAATTGCTATCGACATACAGTCGCTCCTTACACTTCAAAAATGTGTAGCATCTTCTTGTAGCTGATAAGCCATAACATGAGGAAACTCTTTTCATTTTAATGTCAAAACGAGTCGATGGGTTCTAAGAGCCTTGCTGGCATTGCCACAGTCAACGAGCTGCTGCATTCGCATACTTTATCGCGACTACAAGCTGCATTAGAGCTGACAAAGGTCAGCATTCACGTGCCGACGTCTCTCTGTTAGTTAATGTACTGGAAAGCAAGCTGCAAGCTACGGGATCGAACAGACTATGCACAAATTGATTTACTGAGCAAGTACAAGTGTTTGTGTGCGCTTGAGCTGTTCATCCCGACACGTTTACGTCCTACTCGGTGTCCGTAATCAACCCTTATGTCGCTTTTTCTTGCAATGGCTACAACATTGGAACGACAGTAGGTCGAAGGAGACACGAGAGCAGGTGGACAGGGTTGGCTTTGCTTTAATGCAAGACAATGTTTAGGTGTCCCATGACAAAGTTGCTACGAAGGAAATCGTGTCGTTCAAGATCATCATCAAGTCTATCAGTATGCTTGTCTTCAAGTGACAACCAGCGCTAGCCCATCATATTGAAAAAAATACACGCTAGCACTGCTCGATGAAATGGTCTCGTCACACGCTAAAATGGGTCAGCGGTTGGTGGAAGCAACTATAGCCAAGTTGAAATAGGTTTGTTGGTTTGTGCAGCGGTATGACCCACCTTGATCACTCTAGCCACTTGTCTGGATTGACTATGTCGTCGTCACTTGAGGTGTTTGATTCATTTCATCCACGTCGATAGCACAGAAATGCTGGAAAAACAGTGATGAGCCTTGAGCTGTTACAGCCAACCATCATATCATTCCTCATTTGCCACGCGCAAAGCAGCAGCCCTTTGAATCACGACAGGCTGCGCTCTTAACGTCCTTGCTGCTTGCGCCGTTGCATCTTTACAGCCGTGGTTTTGACGAAAGCACCATAGCAGCTACAGCCTCGTTACTACGAAGACGATACGATGGCAACAGCTACGACAATAGTTTGTACAACTCGTTGCCAAAGAACGATTTGATCCTGAATGCTCAGGCATGAATAGCGTCTAGTACTCAAGTCCTGTTGTTTCGCCGTCGTCACAGCCAAGCTCGACTTCACGGCGTACATCTAAGCGAGATGAAGGCTTTTCGACGGTAGCTGCAGTGAAGAAGTGACCAAGTACAAGTGACACATGCACGTCAAATAACCACACGAATACGGTTCCGAGTTCTCAATTGGTGCAGGCTGATCGGTACCGGGACCGTGTCACAGTTACAGCTGCAATCACGTAATAACCCACACGTATGCAACAAAGAAGACTTGTCGGATAAGGTCGGAAACTTGAAGCTGGACGTCAACAAACGAGTTGCGAAGAGTATTGTGACCTCAACTACCGCATCCGAGTGGGATATGATCCCCCACGCGGTATCCGGCAATGCCGCTTGACGCATTGCGTGCACTGTCAGTATATTTTTAACTCGAATTGAATCTCCACCTCATACTACAGCAAATAAATGCTCAGAACCAGAACAGCTTTTCTCAGAGCTTAGCAAACATAGTCGTCATGCATATGGAGTCTTCAGGCCCTTCTTATATTCTTTCTTGTGGCCTTGCACAATTCAATTCATCTCTTTTTATACATAAAATGTCGTACCTGCACTTTGTCAACCTTGTCTTTGCGTAAATTCTGGTAGTCTATGTCACATTGGCGTTCCTTTGCTTGACGCCATCTACAAACAAGCACAGAACGGTTGTGAGCAGAGCAACAAGCCATACAAGAATGCCAAACGCAATGCACGAACACAAAGCACTGTGCCTCTTCTTAACAAACATTCATGCAAACGTATAGCCACTCTGCCTACCAGCTGCATCGCGAGCTTTTGTTGTACTGTTTGCTGACGTTACTGTCGATCGAGAATAGCAGCAGCACGATCTTTCTCCGCATCGACCAGAGGTTCTTTAAGTCCAACCATCTTCAATTCTTGCCGATGCAGCACGATATTTGAAGACCAGAGAGCTGCAGTACATCACGCATGAACGCATGTAGTTAGCGTAAAATGAACCTGTACCGATTTTTTTACTCAACAAACTAAAGCCCAAACTACATTTCATGTACGCCAACTTACCCCATGTCGTTGTACTATGCTGCACTACGCTCTTGCTTAATGCAGGGTCGTTCAGTATTCCGATTGCTAGAGCGAACAGGGCCATACTTGCTTGTTTTCTTCGCTCGCCCACTTCTGGACGACAGCTCAACCCGATAACAGTGGCCGCGGGCTCGACTGTGGCTTCGGCTAGAACTGCGACTTCGACTTGCCAAACGGTCACGGCTGCTGTAGTTTCGTTTGCGCTTTCTGCCGCTCCTTGAGAAATTGCGGGGGCTTTGAGAACGGCTGCTGCTGCGACTGGTGCTACGACTGTCACGATCGCGGCGGCTACTGTCGCCATCGCGATCTGGCTTACGATCACGTCGGTCAAGGTAAGAGGGATCACGACGAAAATCAAGATCACGGCGGCTATGTCGGTCGTTGCCCCTGTCATCTTTGCCATAGGTAAAGAACCTGTTTCGAGAATCTTGCCTATCTTCTCTCCGTTTGCGATCACGATATCGGTCCCTGTCGTCGTACTCATCACGGGCGTCATCATCGTACCTGTCGCGATCTCGACGCTCTCCGCTATGCGCTCGGCTATCGTTGCAAGCGTTCTTTGCATTTGACCAGCTTCCGCTTTTGTAACGTAAACCACTCCCGCTTCGGCTTTGGCTACGACTCCGTGGTTGGTTACGGTCGTCGTCGCGATCGTCGCTGTGGCCATGTCGGTGCTTTTCATCTTGACCATTAGCAAAAAATCGACTTTCCACTTTGATACGCGGTTCGCCTTCATCTCTGTATTTTTTCAAGTTGCTTTCACTTCGATTGTAGCATCTTGATATGTTTTTTACGCGTAACCGATCACTGTCACCATTGCTCTTGTCCATCTTGACCCAGTCTTTTGAATCCTCTTCTATCTTTTTTGTAAATTCCGCCTCGTTCAAGATAACGGAGGGGTCCAGCCGTAAACCACCTATCTGCGGCTCAAACGTTTTCTTAAGATTCGCAACCTCGTTGCCGCCCAAAGAGCTCGACGTCTGAACAAGCGCATCAAATTCTGTCTGTTGACTTTTTTTCCATCTCTGTAGTGATCGAAAACTTTGTAGTGCACTCTCTGCAAACATATAGGATAGAAGATAGTGAGCACAACAAACTTCGAAAACGACGTTTCAAATTACGTACTTGCTGTCCGTTCGGTAAAAGCGCGGCCTTCCCGACTCGAACTGCACCAATCAAACTTGAAATCTTTGCCCGTGTTCCAAATTGCAATGTATGCAGCAGCCTCGCCAAGTACCTGCGGCGAAATATCCACACACATTGGCAGAAAAAACCTGTATACAACTTTCAGCATTAGATGATTCTACACCCACAATTACGTAGCAAGTTGCCTCAAGGCACGCACAGTTCTTCAAGAATTTTTAACGCCTCGTCTTTAATGGAGTTTCGGTCTACAGCACAAGAAATAAAACAGAGCAAACGTGATTAAGCCCATTGTGCTGCATTGCTGCATGGGAGGCAACAACAGATGCTACGTACATTTCTGGGGCATCTTTTCCAACGTACGACGCAGATAAAAGAAGGGCATCTCCGCGGTCAACTCGAAGTTAATACCTTGAAGCACCTCCATCTCATAGTAAAGCAACTGCAAACGCTCAATCTCTAACAGCTCCTCATCGCCAGCAACCAACGGGGTTTCCAAAACGCTGTACATGACATGCACCATGCGCAACAACTTCATGCGTTTGCTAGATGCCTTTGCTGATAGAAAGAGACACGCTGCTGCAAATTTGTACCGCTCCCTAGCATAAATACCCCGATCAAACACGCGATGAAAAAAGATGCAAGCAGTAAGCGCAATGTCACTACTCAGGCCGAGACACCGCGATAGGATGTCAATAAACGCAATAGCAGTGTAGCGCCAATGCTGCTTCTCCTCAAGCTTGCTAGCAAAGTTTGGTCGCTCAAAGACCAATGGACATTTTGAACGATCAAGATGCACCTGAGGCACGCATGGCAATGGCAGTTCAAACGGCTGAAGCTGGTCAGAAGTCTCAGCTTGTCGTTCCGTTTCGCTGTTTGGTAGTGGTACAGGGGCCCTTCGTGGCTTGCATTCTCCCATCACTAAGCTCTTCCAGGCCTTTATTTTTCTAGGATACAGCTTGAGCTCTTCCCAACGCGCAAGTGTCTGCACATCGGTAGTTCCACAGATGTCAGATCAAAAAGAAGCAGTACTGACAATGTAAACCACATCCATCCCACTGACCTTAAATACTCGTTTCCGGTTCTCCTGAAAGTTTCGCTTATCGCCATGTCGAATTTCCCTCGCACAAGCGTTGATGATCTCGTCCACCGTCTGGAACCACTCACGTTGCACCTGCTGTAATTGTTCTCCACCAAAGGATTTTAAAAACTCGTGCAATACGTAAAACAGCATAAGTTTGGCCTGGAATCCTCGTGCTTCTTCGGCATAAGCTCGCTACAATATCGACACAAGATGATAAAGACATGTTTTAGTTAGTTCAAAGAATACACCAGTAGGGGAAAACAAGTAAGAGTTGACTTGGTCTGAATCTCTATTCTATTAAGCACACCATCGTCACTTCACAGCACACACGTCAGATAATATACAATGAAATACATAGATACAAGTAGAGATACACCCACTAGGTTATCCAACCTTCCCTTCCTTCCATTAAAGACCTAGTGGTTGTGTGTGTATGTGTGTATGTGTGACTGAAGAGACATATATATATATATACATATGTGTGTGTGGTATTGTAGTAACGACAGCAGCATTATAATAACACAATAGCACGTAGTTTTAGCTCTAATATAATATAAAAGTACCTGCTTCATCTTGATCTGAAAACGTAGTGTATGATGAGGATACGCAGCCATATAGGCCGCTGTTTTCGCCACCAATTGTCGATTTGTAACACAGCGTAGTACATCATTTAGTACTGAACCAAAGCCTGCAATCTCCTTTTCCCACTGTGAATCAGATAGGAGCGGTCGCTCAGGTGAGACGTCGGGGAGTGGTGTCCCAAGTGGTGTCGTTTCATCATTTGTACGGCATTTTCCATCACTAAATCGACTTGAGCATGTTGTCAATGTCTTATACGAGTTTTTATGACAGGATTGTAGCGGTAAAGCTGTAGAATCACTCGTCAAAACGCCCATATCACTTGACCCAGACACATCAACTTTTGAGGTCTCTATTGAGACAGAAAGAGCGTCCTTGGAGCTTGTAATTAGCGTAAGAGATGGAGAAAACACGGTTGTATCATCTACTTGACGTTTTGGTGACGTAGATACGATCGTCGCGTGCTCTTTCTCGTTAGAAGTGGACGGTCGAATACGTCGAATGTCCCCCATAAAGCTTCTCTAATTTGTCTGGAGGTCCAAACAACGTGAGTGGGGATCGCACTTAAATGAATACAACGATTACTCGGTTAGAATAAAAACCCTGTCAAGAAGATATCAGGATTAACATGGCTACATATCTGCTCTCCAAATATAATGTACACACACACAAATCAACAGGACTGCTATCCTCTATATTTAATATTCATACATCATATTACACCATGTCACATGACTAAACATGCTGCCTGTATTGTATGTATTTGTCTCTCACGCCACTAAGCTACAGCACGTAAAGCACGTCGGCTACGTCAGCGTGTTTCTGCTCTTACTGAAGTCATTGCCCGAAGCTACTTGCACTTTTCAACGCTAGTCAGAGACCCTGCGCAGCTGTAGTCTCCTTTCGGACTCCGTTCTTTGTCTCCGCTTGATCAATTCTTTAAGCAAGAAAATGCGCCTGGAGATAACCCGTACTGGCGTGGAGCTATCTGGATGAACGCCAACGACCTGGCTTTGGATGCACTACACCACTACGTGCAGCCGAGCACGGGAAGTCCGTTCCAAGCGGAGTTTCATTCGGCGTATACGGCGCTATGTGCGAACGTGATTGCCAATGTTTATCGCGAGTACGAGCGGACTGGGTATCTGTGGGAACAGTACAGCGGTGACATTCACAATGAACAGCGGTACGGTCAAGGGCAACAATGTCATGCGTTCACGGACTGGACATCGATTGTCGGGCAGGAATCTACTAGAAATATGACGTCAAGAAAGAAATGAGGGACAACTTTACTTTGGTGTTGTGGCTTTTAGTCATATAACTAATGCGATGGTTCTTGCACATTTCGTTACGAGACCCAAGCGGTATTTACTGCGTATCCAAGGCCTAGTTTTGACGATTGTTTCGTTTGGGATTCTCGACTTTGTTTTGCTATATTTAAAGTTGGATTTTTTTGGGGGAAAAAAGTTTTTAGAGAAAGAAAAAAAAAAAAAAAAATTTTTTTTTTTTTTTTTTATAAAAAAAATTAATTTTAAAAAAAAAAAAAAAAAAAAAAAAAATTTTATATTAAAAAAAAAAAAAAAAAAAAAAATTTTTTTTTTTTTTTTTTTTTTTTAAAAAAAAAAAAAAAATATATAAAAAAAAAAAAAAAAAAAAAAAAAAAAAAAAAAAAAAAAAAAATTTTTTTAATAAAAAAAAAAAAATTAATTAAAATTAGTTTATTGTTGAAGAATAATTTTTATTAATTTTAAAAAAAAAAAAAAAAAAATTTTTTAAAAAAAAAAGAAAAAAAAAAAAAGGTTTTTAAAAAAAAAAAAAAGAAAAAAAAAAAAGGAAAAAAAAAAAAAAAAAGGGAAGTAAAAAAAAAAAAAAAGTTTTTTAAAAATTTAAATAAATTTTTTTTAATATATAAAAAAATAAAAGAATAATTTTGTTGAAAGAATATAAAAAAGTAAAAATAAAAATTATAAAAATATTTTTTGAAAAATATTAAAATTAAAAAAAAAAAAAAAATTTTTAATATTTTTTTTTTTTTTTATTATTTTTTTTTTTTTTTTTTATATTATTTTTTTTTTTTAAAAAAAAAAATTGAAAAAAAAAAAAAAAAAAAAAAATTTAAAAAAAAAAAAAAAAAAAAAAAAAAAAAAAAAAAAAAAAAAAAAAAAAAAAAAAAAAAAAAAAATTTAATTAATTTTTTATTAAATTTATAAAAAATAATTTGTGGGGGGAGGGGGGGGGGGTTTTTTTTTTTTTTTTTTTTTTTTTTTTTTTTTTTTTTTTTTTGGGTTTTTTTTTTTTTTTGTTTGGTTGGTGTGGGGGGGGGGGGGGGGGGGGGGGGGGGGGGGGGGGGGGGGGGGGGGGGGGGGGGAGGGGGGTTTGGGCTTTAGCTGAATTCAACATCGCAAACTCAATACAATCGTTATCAATATCAATCCATATTGGAATAAATGTCGCTCACAACCATCTGAGCCAACGCTTCTTTGAACAAGATAAACGTATTTGGCATTGCATTTGCTCCATGCTCAAGCAAAGTTCAAATACAACGATCGAACATCAACGGGATCACGGTCGAGGATTCTGTTCTGCCTCTTGGACGCCGATTTGAAGATAGGCAGTGTTGTCAGCCTATCCTACCAGGTTGTCAAGCCGTTCGCCGGTTTTTTGATTCGTTCATCTGGTACAGACCAGACGGCTCACTGTAAGGTCGCCTCAAAAGTACTGCTCGGGAACTATCCCCAACACGAAAGCTAGGGACATAGTCGGTATCATGAGCCCAATATACCATGTTACTTGCTAAGCAGTCCTATCCATTGAACATATGACCGAGAATAGCAGCTGGAACTCGGTTCGAGTGGCGACTACAATTGAATGGTGAACACAGCCACTTTCATGTCAAATGTCATTAAAAAGCAACAGCCTATACAGGCGAATCTTTGCAGAAGCCTGAGGGGCCATGTGGAATGATCGTGAGGTAGTTCTATGTATCTCAAACAAAGTCTAACGCCCCTTATGAGATTCCTGACAAATTCAGTGGAATGTCGTCAAGTTTCAAAACTCACGGCAAGAAGAGTTGCTTGTATCATTATATGCCGAATATTTACGACAAGGTGTTTGTAACAAGGTCAAATTGCCTGGCTATGGAGCTTAGTCTGTGGAATTAGATGCGACACGTCTTAGTAATGCTAGAGCTCAGGCGTGAGAGAGAATAGGAAGTCTGATCGGATGAGAACCGATATCTCCTGCATCGCTCAAGTGCCACCTGACAAAAAGCACAAGACTGCTTTCTACTTCGTGATAACCGACTGGATTGAATCGTAATGCATCCGCCAATTCGTTTGAATTCATCGAGAGACATTGTACTTGAGACTAGGATAGGAAGCTTCCAAGTCATTTGTGCCAAAGTTGTTGACCGCCACGGAGATTCACCAAATCGAAGTAGGCCATACTGTGGAACGATTTTCAATAGTTTTAGCTTTTAAATGGCGACTATAACACCGATCAGAGCAGCAAAGACATATATGATGGAATTGAACAATCTATCTACGCTCTTTTGACGTTTGTGTCTGGAATACTTGAGTAGGTAGGATGTGTGACGGGATCACATTAAAGTCAGCTCTGCAAATCGCTGGACCGGACCAGACTTTGTCTTGTCCAGTTGAATATCGTAATGAAAAGGGGTATGCATTTTGTGACGCTCTTGTTGGACTAACACTGCTAAACCAGTTTAGTATTTCAAGCAGACGCGAGCGTAGGATGGCGCGTCGACGTCACATTCGACTTGCGCTTTTACTTACACTCGTCTTTATAGTGCTGCTCTTGATAGCCACAGTTGCCTCTGATGCCACATCACATGGCTTAACAATAAGTTTTACTTCAGAGATTCAAGAAGAGGCAGAGCTACCAGCAAACGATTCGTTTACATTTGATGGCACAACGTCCGATATATCTCGACAGCTCTACTTGAGGCATATAGCAGGGGATAGCATCGACAGGGTGGTGCCCAACACGATTCCAAGTGCTGTCACAACGCGACTGTCGCCATTTAACGTGTCCTTTGAGAACCTTCCCGGTTTGTTGCAGCGAGCTCTGCTCTGGGACTCAGGCTACGTGATATCACCACAAAACGAAGCCGTGCAAATTTGGACTCTTGGAGGTAGATCAATGGCTGCTCTGGCCGTGACGACGGTCGAGTTTGATGCGACCGGATGCATAGCCTTGAGCTGTAGTCAGCCAGACAATACGACGTACAATGCCAATGAGTTTTGCACAGGTACAAAGATGCTAACAGCGGCCAAGTGTCTGATGGATAACTTTAGCTCGGACACTAGTTCATATACTGCAATGTGGTCGGACGGAGGATATCTTGAGATGATCCCGGAAATTCGGGCCGTGATGCATGGCTGGTTGGACCCGTCGACAAATAAGTCGTATTTGCTTTCGGCTGTGCATACGATGAGCATTGACTCGGAGCCGGCGTACGGGACTTGCAACGAAGGAGGCTATGGATCACTCGTGCTGCCGTGCCATCCGATGAGCGGCGCCTCTTCAGACGTCGTCAAAATGATGTCATTGCCCATCGCAACGCCGTGGATGACGACATGGATTAAGCAGTACCAGCCGAGCACGGACACAGCAGTGAATGGACAGTCCGACAACGATGGAAGCGGCGTCAGTCTATGGCTACTTATTCCCCTTATTATTGCTGCAGTGGTGGTGACCATATTTATCTTCTTCATCGTGTTCAGGAAGCGTCGGCGACTACAATCTGCTTATTGGCAGCGTAGCACTCCTGCAGGTACTGATAGCTTTGAACCGAGGGAAAAGTCAACCCTGTCGGTACCAGTTGCTAAGTCTTGCCAGAAAGATAACACGACAAGTCTCCGTCGCACAAAACAAGAGACACTCGGTGAGTTTAGTCAAACCCTTCGATTGCCAGGAGAGGAAGACAGCTCGGTCGAAGAACCATCGCCCATGATTGAAGAAGTCTTACCGCGTCCACGACGAAATACTGCACCCGTGTCAATGAGTAGTCTTGCAGCTCGAGGAAGTTATCCAGTTGGCCAAACCAATTCACAAGTATATAGAAGTGGTACGGTGCCAGCAGCTCAGAGTATTGCATCAGGAGCACAAACTGAAGCATCTGCATGTATTGCACCAACTGCACAAAGCCGATCATTTGGAGCTTCGACTCGTGCCCTTCGTCATTCTACAGCTCAGACATCTACTTTTGGAGTGCGTCACCCTTCAGCTCACGCGTTGAGTAATGCGATGAGTCAAGCTGCTCCTCGAAGCTTTGTGTCAGGACAGAGGAGCAAATCAGAAGTTCACGGTACCAGATCGTTGACGTATAGTCATGCGCCTACAGATCGAGAGCTTTTGCCAACACTTAGGGAGTCGGTATTGATGCCTAAGATTCGAGGAGTGATGCCGTCAATCTGCGATTCGATTCAAGCGGATCGCGAATTGATTCCTGCGATGCGAGAGACTTTCTGTCGCTACTCTGCTGCGGACAGCGTCCACTACACGTTGACAACCGACCCTAACCTTGTTGGAAAGCGAATTGCATGGGAGCGGATTGAGCTTGGTAGCTTGCTTTCCAGAGGTGCTTACGGAGAGGTGTGGGCATGTCGATATGCTGGCCAGAAAGTGGCCATCAAGCGGTTGCTGCAGTCAAAAGAGCCCACGTTTCATGCGACAGAAAATTTTAAGAATGAGATCCAGCTTACCGCTAGTCTGAACCACCCGAACATTGTGCGCTTTATTGGCGTAACGTGGAGCAGTCTGGTGAACCTGGCAATGGTGATCGAGTACCTCCCTCGAGGTGACATGCAGAACTATCTACAACGAAATGGCGATTTAATTACTTGGGCGCGTGACAAAATTGACATGGCTATTGGCGTTGTGAAGGCGATCGCGTATTTGCACAGTCGTGAAGTCATCCATCGTGACATCAAGGCCCGAAACGTGCTACTGACTAAGCGACTCCAGCCGAAGCTGATCGACTTTGGGGCTAGTCGTCTCTCGGCTCCCAGCGAGATGTCAGCAGGGATTGGAACGCCCTATTGGACTGCACCAGAGGTACTCGAGAGTACCGAGTACACCGAGAAGGCAGATATTTATTCATTTGGAGTGTTGTTGTCGGAACTAGACACATGCAAAGCCCCGTACCACAACAGAGTGGGGACGAATGGGGAAAAGATGAAACCGTTTCATATTCTGACGGAAGTCGTGGATGGCTCCTTGAGACCGAGTCTATCGACAGGATGTCCCGAACGCATTCGTAAAGCAGCGGACGCGTGTTTCCAGCACGACCCGAATATGAGGCCGTCAGCTTTGGAGCTCATCAAGTTGCTAGATGGCTAAGGTGCATATTATGCGCTTACACGTTAGTATGAAAGGATAGAATAGCGTACACTAGAGACAACTAAATAAACTTTAACTCACGACATCTACTTCCTTGCAGAATGTCTTAGCAGTGTAGCAGCAACACGCGATACCAATGCGATGGACTCGAGACAGACAATACTTAAGAGACAACTTGGACGTAGCGCATCTGTCATGATTGCTCAAAGGATGTGAGATGACTCGGCTTTTTTCTTCGTCATGATACGAAATCCTGGATGCATATCGATACATTCAACGCTGTTGAATGTATCAACAGCATGACATCAAAGAAGTGAGTATTCTCATGCTCATGTATCGCCAACCTTGCGTTTCTATTGCAACGGTGAATGATGTACGTGACAGAGTTTGTCTGGTTGCGTGTGGTCGTATTAACCTCGTCCAGCGTGACCGCCGCTGTAAACATGTTGTTGGCCTTCTTTGAATCTGTTCCGTCTCAAATTTTAACTGGAATTTTTTAGCAATGCATTCTTCGACGTAAGTGCAAATTCTGAGTCCTGCAGCAGCGCCAATTGCACGTGACTCAGCAGTTTGCTTTGCCCAGATCAAAGACGTCGAGGCGGCTTGTGCCGCATTTGCTAAGATTTCAATGGTCTGACGCCATGAAATTTTTGGTAGCAGGATGATGCTCAGCTCAAAGCAATTTTTTGGCTAGTGCTGCCTACCACACAGACGTCAAGGCTCCAAACTGGCTGCAGCAATGTTATCCTTGGACATCACCAGGCCAAGTAAACCATACTTTGCAATGACAGAAGATAGAACCAACCAGCTTAACGTTGGCAAGCTTTTCTAAACGAGCAATTTGAACCGCAATAGTGGCACGTACAGTGAAGTTGAACACAAAGCCACGAATTGATGATACCGATGACATAAGTAGCCTTGACATTACTTGTCACCTGTATTAACTTTCCTTCTAGAGTACCTTTAGCTTAATGACTTTACAAGATTCTATGTGGTCTTTAGACTCGACCAAACTTGTCTTGGCGACGATGTAAATAGTGACAGTGATGGTCGGAATTGGTGGGACCGTTGTCCAATAAGCTACAAACCATGACTGATGAAGACACGCTGTCAACATATATTCAGGAGATTTGCAGTGTCCAGATGCTCGCTCAGTGTTTGCTTAATGTAGTGTGACCTAAGAAGTCGAGGGCTAGTGACTCGAAGTGAGAGAACGGGCAAAGCGAGTCTTGTGTGTGGCCTGCAACATGCAACCTTGTTTTCGTAACGTGGTGTAATGAAAAATTGATAAGGGACCTTGTCCTCGTATACCTCCAACGCCAATACTGTGCCATACTCGGGCAAATGCGAGCCCACATCAATCTGCAGAGCGCCCAAAAGCGCCACATTGAGTTATCGTGTGCCGAGAAAAAAGATAACTTGGCACGTTGTTCGTTTTGCACCACCGCCTTCAAACAACTGTAAACCTCCTTCACTCCGTCCTTGAACGCTCCGTAGCAAAAGTTTGCGATGATACAGACGTTGCCAGAGCCACGTATCGTAGGTTTCAACTTGTTTAAAGATGTTGCAGTCGATGCCCTCAGGGAATGGCACGCCATACGCCTCACGACAAGTCAGCATGTCTCGAACGGCCGTCCACGATAACGGCTGGTCGTCGGGCGCTCCCAGACACTCTCGCAAATACAACGCTAGCTTCTGCGTGACATCATGCTCAGCTTTACTACGCAATTTTAGTACATCTTTATACACAATGAGCTCAATTTCTTTGAAGACATGCAACGGGTGCATGGGCGCCAGCACGTTGTGCTCGTATGTGTGCACAAAAATTGTAGAACCTTGTGATTCGGCTGGTCGTCGTCGTAAAAGAAGCCTCGCAGCAGATATTGCGCCGACTCGACGGTGCGTGGGACGCTGCTGGAAAGCACGTAGATATCTTCGCACTTGACGTCGTCGTCGATCAAGTCTCCGTACCGCTCTCGTAGTAAACGTCTCTTTCTCGTCATGTGGTCGACACCCTTCTGGGTCAAGAGCCCGTACGGATGCCATGACTCCTTTGACGGCGATAACAGGAGGCTTTATATTATCAACGCCAACGGGTTTTGCTGTCTGCAGTAGCAATTCAAGTTGCTCTGACGTAGCCACTTGGGAGGCCCAGAAGTCCTTCTCCTCTTGCGTTGGAATCACTTTTGTACCAATTAAAGGTATTACAGGTGTTCTGTCTCCAGGACGATGGAAGATCAATACGTGGCGTAGTGTCACGTCTTGACAAGTAGAAGAGAATGTAGCCATGATGTTATTTCGATGCAGACGGCTGCTGGCAGATTGCGAGTTAAGACCTTTCTCATCCATTCATTTTAGAATGTTTCACATGATACCTATGACCACATACAAGATAAGATGACATCACGCTTGTCACTGTAGTGGGTTCATGAGCATCAACCTAATGTACTTGTTAGATAGCTTCGTACTACATGCTGGGTTTAAACAGGAAATAGACATAGAAACCGAGCACTCGTGGTTGAAGAAATACATCTCGACTGCTTCAATGAGTCGTGTCGTTTAGATATGCAACTCGCCCGTAACACGGTGCCACAACAGCTCAAGACTTCACAATGCGACAACAAAAGCTATATCGCTATAGATGTGGTGTCACAGCCATGCGTTGTACTTATAGATATGTGCGTGACATGGTGCTAGTCTGAATCGTTCGGAATAATGAAGCCAAGCCGTTCCGTACGGCCGTCGACAGAAAAAATGTCAGCACCTCGCGTACTGTTTCAACGCGAGTAAACAGATTGAATCACCAAGCAACACGCAAATTTCACAACCAATATCTTGTCCAGGACTCCATGTTACTTGCACCATTCCAAGAGCTTTATCAGTCATGTGTAAGGGATTTTAGTAAACGCTTGCGACACGTGCTGCCTCAGTCATGCAACTAGGGCATAAAGTAGAGCGACATTAGCAACAAGGCTGTTGCCCTTTCTTGGCTGCAAGCAGTGCTAATCGCTGCAGCAGCTGTGGGCTCTGTTGTTATAATGTCAAAGGCCGCTAATGCCCGTGAGGACTCAAGACGAGTAATGCATTGCTCCAGTACTAGTTTCACATCATAAGAGCGTGCTGGTAATTCCAAGGCAAAACCGAAAAGATCAAGAGACTACGCAGCAGCATACGCCGCAATATACATTGGCTGCACAGCATTTTGACCAGTCTGAATTGGGTATGAAATGGATCGACGCAAGCACAAGATCAAGTCACGCAGAACTTTACTTTTGTTCTGCAACATGGCTCCACATCTAAAGTCACTTCGACCTTTAGCTACTGAACGAATGCTGTGCGTTACTATCAGACTTCAGATGACAAAATTTCAAGTGATTCTGTAAGGTGTATGATACAACGTTCTGCTGTAAGCAGCAAAATCAACGAAGACTTCAGCTATAGAAGCATGTTGCAAAGCAATATAATAGTCCTGCGAGCTTTATCTTCGCTAATTCAAGCTTTCAGGCGGACGATGCGATGCAACTGGCGGACTTCTACGCTGAATGTGTGTCCCCGGCAGCGACGATAGGAGGATGCATACTTATTGTTCATAACCTCCATATGAAGGACATTCTGGTGGATTTGCTCGTAGCAGATGCTCTGCTAGTGGATGCAAAAGAGAAGGTGAAGCGATTATCATGCAAGAAAACATGACAAGACGTGCAAAGAATGGTGTGAGTCCTACCGTTATGTCCCGAGATGCCGATAGGAGAGTCTCACGCTACATGCCTTTTGATGTGGGCAGTACTGGGAGGAGAATCAAGAAGAAGGCAAGATATAAAAGGTAAATGATCACCAGTGGAGTCTCGGTAAACGTGGTGAATCGTGGTGCAATAGCTGTCGAAATCGACGTACACGAGTTTTTCATTTCGGTGTCAATTGTACCATCAGGTAACATCACACTATAGCAAGTAGCACCAATAGGGAATGTGGCATTATTATTGCGTGCATTGGCCGCATACGACCAGAAAACAGTGTTGTCCTGTGAAGCTGCAGCAAGTGAAGAGTTCGTGTTAGCACACTGAAGTTCTTCAATTAACTCGCCTGTTTTCGGATTGACAATAGCTTGGACTCGACATATTGTGTCAGGTTCATTGTAATAGAATTTCGGGGTATCAGGATGATACATGGGTATGGGAAATTCACTTGACGTTGCTTACTCCATCCTTCAACATAATACGACTCATAGTCACCACCATATGGACGATTAAATTTCGTAAAGAGCAGTCACAACAATAGTATTCTGGACTATGACGAATAGGACATGCGTCAAAGTCTATTTGATTAGCTGCTGCAGCATGTACTTGTCGTGACCCAAAGGTTCCTAGTATGAGAAAAGACAAAAGACCGCTTGCGTTCACAATCAAGTCTGCCACAGCACGGTTGCCAACCAGCGACTGAATTAAGACTTGGTATCAAGATCCCACCGACGAACGGTATGCACACTTCAACGACATCTTTGTCGTGCTTTCAATCCTCAAATGAAACGCTACGCTCGTCACGTAACTTGTGTGACCAACCAGCACAATCTCAGCCTCTAGCTCGTGGAAACACACGGTGTCTACACCATCTTCCGTCTTCTTTATGCTTCTTCGCGGAATGCAATGCACCTGCTTCCTCTTCGTGGCTTGATTTTGCCACTGACGCACCGTGTTATCCAGCTGCCAAAAACTACTCACTTACCAACCTTTCTGCACGGTGTCAACACTGTTCAATTGTTCGTTAACGCCGCCATCGGCGACAGCTTAGCTGGCCCAGCCGTACCGCCACAATTGTGCAAGTTGGTCTTTGCCACTACTAGAAATTACAAACTCTCCGCTCATTCCAGCACTAGGTGACACATTCACCGCCAAAAAGAGATGAATGCCATCGAATCATTGTTAGAATGACTATCAAATGCCACTTTGACGGATAGAATGGAAATTCTCCAATGAATTCATTTTTATCTCTCGAGAGGTGGCGAGATCATGCGTTACCAGTGGTGTCGCGTCTGATGAATCTCCTCGTCTTACAGTATCAAACTTGCGCTGTCGCTGCTTATAAGACAAGGAGATCCTTGTCTAAAAGTAGTGCCTGCTGTAGAGCTGCGGTCTGTCTTGCACTCCCTTGCACCACGACTCGGAGCCCTTGTATAGTAATTTACAATGAATAGTCTGAACCTTTGCACCGCCAAAACGCTTGTTTCTTTAGTGCCAGCAGTACATGTTTGCTCGCAACAGGATCAGGTACGCTCCATGGAAATCCATTACGCGTTGAAGACGATACCCCCCTTTCGACATACAACAAAGAAGAAGCGATGTAATTGCTCAAGACAGGAGCGTGCAAGATATCAGCAGGGTACAAGTCGGATGCTTTTAAACGATGACTTGCGATTCGGACGCTTTCATGCTGCACTATCTGAACTTGGTGGTCAGCTTGATACTGTTTAAACATGTTGAAGCTCGACTAATTGCGTTTCGGGAAATGGTCAAACTAAAACTTGGACTCTACTACATCGGACTTTCGTTTCGTGGCAATCATTCGGGTTTTTTCCAGGACGATTGCAATGCGCCTCACGCTGTAATGATGTAGCCAGTTCTGCTGTATCGTCACAGTAAAAAGTTTCTGTCACATGTAGCAAATCGATTTCTGTCATATGTAACAAATCGTTTTCTGTCGCATGAATAGCGACATTTGCTTCTTCTTTTCTATGCGTGGTCTGAGGGTCACGATCCACGAGCGTCTTGACGCAGAATTCGTATTTTGCACACATATGTTAAAATACGAAACAAAGATTTGTGCGTGCAGTTCAGCTTTGCAATCCCGCGACTAAACAGTCAAACACCACCAACATGCCTCTTGAGTCGGGTATGGTGTTTCGTGAGACACTGCGCGTGGCATTGTGAAGAAAGGTCAAATTGGATCCGATACGTTTGAGCCTGATATTGTACACGCTGACTCTTGTCCTTTTGCCCGTATGCCCAGGACACGCGTACACCCGTGTATACGGGCAAAAGGGACAAGTAGCAAAGAAAGCCAGCCAGCTGACGCTGGAATATGACGTAGCTTCAATCAGATACGGTTGACCAAATATTCCGATGGACATTTATTTGCTTACAGCAGTGAGAAACAACAATTTACCTTACAAGAGCGACTTCAGGATGCCTTTTCCAAGTCTATTCCACTCCTTTCGATTCTACTGGATTGTTCTTTTCACTGCTGCAATGCTACGGGTATGTCCGAGTTCAGCAAAGACAGCAGTCAGCTTTGAAGATCTTTCAAGTGATTATCACGACCATCAAACGAAGCAGTATTCAATTACGAAGAACGTGGCGTCACTACTAAAAGAAGAAGAGGAAGAAGAAAGAATGCCCGATGCCATCTCGATTATGCATTCTTTACTGGGTATAAAGAGAGGAAGACTGGAACCGTCGGAGCTCCAAGCGAGCACAAGTAGTAGAATTGGTCCCGATGGCGTTGCGCTCAACAAAGCTAGATTCATAGCGAATCCCGATACGAGTGCCGTAGCCGCATTATTCCGAAATCATAGGATGCACGACATCGGTGCAGACAAGCATCTCGTAAGTAAGTTTGAAGCATGGAAAATGGAAGTGACTCAATTTTACAACGGCGAAAGCGATATGGCTTTCGCCGCAATGGACGCGTTATGAAATCGAAGCCTACACTGCAAAAAGCGTGGGAAACATACCATAATGAACCGCGTCAATTCCTTGCATGGCTTGTAAGCAACTTTGACGACCGTGTTTTACAAGACTTATTAATAAAGGCATGGAAAGAATTTGTCGAGGCGGTACATAAAGACAAGAATCCTGATGATCTGCTGATTCGAGAACTGATGGAGCGCTACAAATTGAAGCAAATAGCTAACTTTGTATGGTTAGCACAGAAGGATGCGTTTGTGGTGAATCCGGAGGAGCACGTTTTGCCTATGACTTCGATACTGTTCGACACTTGGGATGGTTTAGTTGAAACAGCGAGAGTTGAACGGTTGACGTTGGAGATGTTTCACCAACATGATTTTTTAAACAGCTACTTGCTACGGCTGTTGTTACTGTACACTAACGATCGTAAGGTAGAGTTTCCTGCAAAATTGCTGATCACACAACTGAAGAAAACGTATCAAATGGATTACAAGAAGGTGGAATTTGCAATACTCGATGCGGAGAGGTTTGAATATATTTCGTCAAATATTGCCCGCAGATTGGAGGAAAGGCTGGGAAGTGCAGTTAAAGGACTCGAAAACTTAAAGCGGACAAAGAGGGTCAGTGCAGAGTTATAAGAATGAGTATAAGCTACTCCATCCTGAAAAATAATCTCCAGTAGTTTAAAGGATAAATTCATCGTATCATGTGGTTTCTTCGCCTGGCTCTGAGGCTTTGGAGTGATACTACGATGGCATCACGCGCTTACCACGATGATTCAACATTGCACTAGGCTTAGGATACTGAGCCTTTTGAATTTGGCATTGGTGAGGTTCAGTGAGAGACTGAACTGACATTCCGCTGTTCCAGTGGTTTCTAATATGCATTTTAAGGTAAGAAGCTTTAGGTTACGTTGTTTTTAATTTGCATCATATATCCGTTTTCGTTCTAACAAAGACGCGTGGAACAAGCGCTTCGGGCTTGAGCGACTTGTTCGCGCTTGACTTTACAACACGTCAGGCTGCTAGTTGTAACGACACGCAATACCTTCTTGATCGTTGCACTAACCGGCATATATGAAGTCTATTATACGCATTAGAACACTTTATGGTTCCTAGTGTGGACATATACAAGGCTACGTGCGGTCGCTGTACTGTCGAACGATCATGTGTCGAGATATGAGCATGTTTGATGCTATTTACTCTTGGCTTGTGGTGGAGTTTTTGTGGACCTTGTATTGCAAAACATGAAATACGCAATACGGCAAGCAGGCGCTGGAACACGGGCACGTTACTGATTCGATCCTGTAACGAACAGAAGCCGGGGCCGCGGGGTTGGGCATTTGATGAACCTTGTTTATTTCCGCACAAACTGTGGAGCCCGTGGCTGAAGTACGTCTTTCGTGAAAAATGCAAGAGAGATTGAGCACCTGAAGCTGAGATCAAGCCGTCTTGAGGAGCAGTGTGCCCGTCTTGACAAAGCAAAAGATGCGCACCTTACCACATAGAGTATTACGCTGAACGTTAAGCGAGAAATGCCTTGCTTCTCGAGTCGCTGAGAGGCATTTACTTGCCCAACCGTAATAACAACAGGAAGAAGCGGGCTGATGACACAGGACAGTACGAAGATGGCGTAGCAGAATGCAGCGTATCGGTTACTTCGCTTGCCATTGCCTAGGAGAAAACTGATCACAAGAATGCATGCAATCACAGCGTAGATGAGAAGAAGCGTGATTAACCTTGAGATGCTCGTTGTACTTGAAGCGCAATGAGATTGGAAACAAGATCGACTGGATCAACTGACCCTTGGTTGTGTGCGCATCCGTAGTCTGTACAATAGCCAGGATCTCCTCCTTGCGACCCGAAGACAGGACGCGAGTACCAGCAAACAACGTGTGCTTCTTGCTGCGGTCGTAAGTATCCGAACTGCGCTCCGGGATCGGAAACTTTTGCATCTTCCACTGCACGACTAGACCCTCAGTCTCTCCTAGCGGATCACCTGCACCTTGCGGATTTGCTCCAGCCAATACTCCACGGCTCCGCGTATCACGAGCAAGATTGGCGTTTCCTAATTGCTACGATCATTGCGCTGCTGAAGCTGTTGCTGCGCATTTCATGAGTTGTGCTGACTGCAACTTTGTGAGGGAGCATCACGTCCACGCTAGTTGTTGTGGTATTGCGATAAACGACTGGCAGAACTATCTCAGTGAGAATTGCCTATTCACTAAGCAAGGCCTTGACTTCCTCGGTGTTCAACCCGTCAAAAACTCCAGGTTTTTTCCCCTTGTAAAAGACGCAAAGGAAGCATCTTTGTCTGAAGCGCTACTACACGCGCTAACAACGTGCCACTCCGTGGGCTCACTGGAGGATCGTCTCGTGGGCAATGAGGTGGAGGTGCGTATGTTTACGTTCACGGTCTGGGTGCTCATGAAAAAGGAAGGCGAGTAGCCGTAGGTGCGGTCAAATGTAGATCCGGGACTTGAGATCGAGTTCATTAAGCGTTACGACTTTGATCACCACCGCATGTCTATGAGCGTGGTGGTGTGCAACCTTAGGACCGGTAACTTTTACGTATTCTGCAAGGGCTCCTACGAGCGGATGCAACAGCTAAGCACGCCTGCTAGCGTACCCGATGACTACAAGAGCGTAGCAGATCGTTTGGCGAAGGAGGGGTGCTACGTGCTGGGTCTGTCATACCGCAAGCTACCTAGCGACTGGACGCAAGAGCAGGTGGTGGAATTTGCCAACAACCGCGAGGCTGTGGATGAGAGTTTGTCACTCCTCGGTTTGATCTTGTTCCGTAACGAATTGAAGGAAGACACAGTTGACGCCATCGCAAAGCTTAAAGGCGGTGACATCCGTATGGTCATGGTCACGGGTGATAATGCAATGTGCGGCTGCTACATAGCGCGTCAAAGTGGTATGCTGTCGTCAGCCTCGCGCTTGATTTTGGGCGAAATGGTGTCAACGACGAAGGTGAAGATGCTGGTGGCGTGACGTGGACTCGCACGAGGAGTACGATTTGTCTACGGTAAAGCACCTGGTCGAGCAAGTTGAGGACGTAGAGCTGGCTGTGACGGGTTCGGCGTTTGATTACCTCGTGGCTAGGGGCGAGATCAAGGAACTATTGCTGAACATTCGTATTTTCAGTCGCATGACACCCGACGGCAAAGTAGAGTGCGTGAAGCTGCATATGGAGACAGGGGCAGTGACAGGAATGTGTGGTGATGGTGGCAATGACTGCGGTGCGTTACGTTTCGCTCACGCAGGTGTCGCTCTCAGTGATGCGGAGGCGTCAGTGGTGTCGCCATTCACGAGCAGGGAAAAGTCAATTCAATCGGTGGTTGATCTATGCCGTGAAGGCCGCTGCAGTGTGGCAACATCTTTCGCATCTGTAAAGTTTCTCATCATGTACGGTCTCATTGGTTCGGTACTTCGATTGTTCATGTACTTTCACGCCATCAACTTATCGCAGTGGTGCTGGATTTTGGTGGAGGGTTTTATGCTAGTCGGGTGCTCGTACGTCATTACGCTGTCAAAGCCGCTAGATGAACTGAAACCTTTTCGCCCGACATCAAGTCTTATTGGTCCGACCACGTTGGCCTCGATCCTCGGCCAGGAGGCAATCAACGTCATTTATATGAGCTGCTGCATCCACATGCTATCAAGTCAAGTCTGGTACTGCCCATTTTCGCCTGACGATGTGGATGTTGCAAAGTGGTGGCTCATGTCAGACAACCACTTGGCGACCGTGCTCTTCTTTTCTGTTATTTTCCAGCAACATGTTGCAGCATGGGTTTTCAGCTTGGGGTCATAAAGTGGAGAGACCTCAGGCGGATTCAGGCGACTTCTCCTACCTGTACCCAGTCGCTTTATCGGCTAGGAAGCAAGCTTCCCGTTATGGAATTAGGTGGCGCAAGACCTGTTGTGTCCACACCCGGAGAGTGTACGTGGTTAATCAGCTACGGCAAGTCATGTCTTTTGGAGCTGCCGAGGGTCGCATTGGAAAAAGTAAGAATTTCTGTGGCGGTATCTTGGCACGTTCGAGGAGACAGACAAGCACGTATGGGTATTTGGCATGGAGATTCCGGGCTATCCGAGCGCTGCTTGAGACGCGATTAAGGACGTTTTTGGGCCGCACGGAGACCCGGCAAGATCTCGTTTTGCTGTGTTTCCAGCTGCGCGCGAGCTGTGGCGTTTCGTAGTTGCATCGACGCTTCATGCCATCTAGATCGAGCGGCTACGTCGTATGACGGACTCAACTTTATCGAACGAAGCGCACACTAGCCGGGAAAGGTCTCATCTTCGACGTGCGCTAACACTCTTCCACAGCTCAACATACCAGACCAGGGACGAAACCTGGTACATGTGCGGTCAGCTCTTGCCGACACTTTACTCCTTTCTGAGGCACCTAACCAACCGCACCCGCTGCGGCGGGACGAACGCGCTAACGTTTATACCTGCTTTTCTTCGACAATGAAGCTTGGGGTAATCCTGACAGGAAGGTTCTGGATCTGTCATTGCCAAAGATCACTTCCCGACTTACACAGCCTGCGTCATGTGAGTGGCGAGCATTGTCTACGATTATGCATCAACCACCGACAACATCGCTGAAATCGAGGTCTAGTTCACGGCCTCCGCCAGGCGAAAGCAAGCGTGTACTAACCACTGCATGCAATCGGGGACAACGTTCTGGTTCTTCTCCAGCCAGAACTTATCGCTCTCCACGCAAGACACATAGGCGTCGATTTACCGAGAGGCGCGAGCCCTAGCCGACGATATCACCGTCGTCAGCTGAGGTCATCACTACCGTGACCGTGCTCGGCCGCGCGTAGTGGTATATCGCATTCAAATCCAGGCAGTTGGCGTCCATTCAGATAGCTCCACGCCAGTACGGGTTATCTCCAGGCGCACTTTCCTGCTCAAAGAATTGCTCAAACGTAGACAAAGAACGAAGTCCAAAAGGAGACCACAGCTGCGCAGGGTCTCTGACTAGCTTTGAAAAGTGCAAGTAGCTTCGGGCAATGACTTCAGTAAGAGAGGAAACACGCTGACGTAGCCGACGTGCTTTACTTTATGGTGCGAATACTGAAAAAAAAACAGCAAAGCAGGTCCAATCTGAATGCTGTCTACTACACACGCCCTTGAGCACGAAATCTATTGATTGCGGCTTTCAACTGCTCCGTCAATTCTAAACCCCTACAAAGGTACAGGATGCGCTGGAAGATATATTTAGCAAATATACGATCGTAACTCGACACCGGTCGAGGCGAGTCGAGTCTGCTTCGAAGCGTTATAGGAAGAGGATCACCAGTTTGCTGCACGAGTGTAGTACTAAGTATGAAAGGACGTGTGTGAAGTGCTGCACAAAGAGATAAATTTGCGGCTCTGAATCGTAATATTGATCTTATCCTTGGTTTTGCCGTTCTTTTATAACAGTCGTGTAACAAGCTTGGGATCACTATCGAGCTGTCTTTTTGTGATAGCAAGACGCTCACATATCATATGCACATTCCTTAGTCTTAGTCGCGCTCAGACCTGAGTTGAGTGGCGAATCTTGGCTGAACCAATTAACAGCGTTCGTCATTTACTAACTGTAGAAGTGCATTCTTGTGTGCATATGGAAGCCACCGAATACGCCATTTCGGTCAAAATTAACCACAAAAAGCAGGAATCTCATATTGAAGTGTCACTGCAAACTGCTGTAGGCAACGGCTTGGCAAGGTGAACATTCGTCGCTCGCGCAGATATGAAGGTGCAAATGGTAGGAATGATTGCCTCCACGTAGAATTTTTGATGGTTGTGCTTTGATAGATCTAAGATCTATGCACTGAGTTGAAGCACACTATGATTGAGCCCCTTGCGTCCCAAAAAAGCTGATTGCTGACGTTAGTACTAAGCGGAGTAGCGCCATAACTAAGCCCTCCTCTCACGCACACAACGTTATCTCTATAGCAGTCAGTGGTAGTTTTTGAAACCTTTACGTAGAATTTATGACTCCTTACTGCACTTGATCCATCTTACACACGATACTCGACTCGATAACAACATGCATTGAAACCAGCTGTAACTCCATGTGCATCTCATCAGTTTGTGAAGCATGTTGGTATCGGTAGCATATACTTTCTCTTACATGATGCAGTAGTTATTGTTACTAGTTTCGACGCTACCAATTGATCGGCGATTGATGGTTCTCTCTAACTGCATTTTGACACTTCAAGAGAATGATGTGGTCATATATAACTGCATCAGTTTTCAAAATGACGTCAACTGCCACCGTTGTCGATCCGCAAAGCCATTGCAGCATCAACGCCAAACTCTACCGCGTAGGATTCACATCTGCTGTAGCTGGTACTCAATTACTCAAAGCACTAAGCTTTATATGTTGTAAAGGATGCCAGCGGCGGGCACTGGAGCTTCATGCTAAACCTAACCGACATTTCGTACGGCACATACGGGTAAGACTAGATAATGTTGTCTACGCTGTTGTAGTTTACTTTCACTGACCCTGGATGAATTGCAGTAATAACAAGTTTTACATGGGACAACTTATCGTCGACTGCGGAGTCTTTGTAGTCTTCCGCAAATGGGGTCGGGTCGGTGCCACGTCACCGCAGTCACAGTCGGAGCGCTTCGACACTCTTGAGAACGCCGAGCGAGCATTTCAAAAGGTTTTTCGGGCCAAGACGGGCAACAATTGGCCGCTTATAGATCCTTTCATTCGCAAGAAAGGCAAATACTTCCTTGTTGGTGAGTCTTTCGACGTCTTTGAGCTTGTGCGGGGTAATGTCTTATTAGCAACCATGTAATGTAATGGTCGTGGCCACAGAGCTGGACGACGGAGAATGTAGAGGAGCCACTGGCGGTGTTGAAGAGAAAGTGGAAAAGATGGAGCAGGTAGCGTCCAAGCTGCCAACGGAAGTTCAGAATATCGTCCGGGTAAGGTAACAAACAGGTACAACTTGTACGTTGCTCCGTGTCTGATAGCAATACATTATCATGAACAGCTTATCTGCGACCCAGAGGTGGTTACGCGAGACATGGTCAGCTTGAATGTGGATTTGAAGCGCTTCCCGCTTGGTATATCGGATGGGCCGTTTTGTTTGTAATACTGCTCGCAACTAAATTGTTATGTGTGCACAGGCAAGCTGTCGAAAGCTCAAATTTCGCAGGGCTACAGTATTCTGCAACGTCTCTCCGATGCTCTGGATGAGATCGAAGAGCTGACGAAAACGCCGGCTGTGCCGGCCATGGCGGCGAAAGCTGGCTCAAATAGTAGACGGAGGGGGAAAGCCAAAGCAAAGGGACCAAATGCGGCTACAAGACGAAGTCTGTCTAGCCTCAAAACAGATCTGAAAGAGCTTTCTAGTGAATTTTACTCGCTCATTCCGCATGACTTTGGACGATCGCTGCCTCCGGTTATCGCGACGATGACTGATCTCAAGCTGAAGCTTGAATTGTTAGAAGTATTGTCAAACCTGGAGATATCGCAGATGCTGCAGAAACAAGACGCCGAAAGGCCGATGGGACTTGCAATTCACCCTCTCGATACCCACTACAACATGCTGAACACTAACATGAAGCCGCTGAGCAAACGCGAAAAGGAGTTCAAGATTATTGAAAAGTACGAAAGTGTTTCGGTTGACGAGCAAGTGCATTTAATAGCTCGCATTCTTATACCAATTCAATCGCTTTGTCTGGTGCACAGATTCATCAACAAGACGAATGGTGGGTCCAAGCTAAAGATCAATACAATTCTTAAGATTGCTCGACCGGAAGAAGACACTCACAAAACCGTGCTAATATCCCTTGACAACCACAAGGTACGGTAGTAGTCTCAAGTCTCTCACTTGTAACTACTGACACGTTTGTATTTTGACAAATACAGCTTCTGTGGCACGGATCCCGATTGTCAAATTTCGTTGGCATTTTATCGCAAGGACTGCGGATTGCACCGCCTGAGGCTCCCATGAATGGATACCAATTTGGCAAAGGGGTAAGAGTCGTGACAGTGAAGCCATAGATCTTGATGGATAGCTCACCCTTACCGCTTCTTTGAAAACTAGCTGTATTTTGCCGATGCCTTGGCAAAATCTGCAAACTATTGCTGCACAACATCCCAGAATCCCACCGTACGGCTACACTGATATGTATCAAATGCTGGTAATCTGTCTGACATTGTCTTATTGGTTTGACACTTCCCAGGCAGTCCTTCTACTCGCCGACGTCGCTTTGGGCACACCGTACCAGACTACTACTGGAGAATTTCTGGACTACACCATGGTAAAAGATCAGCATGGATGCGACAGCACGCACGGCCTCGGACGCATGGCACCGGCAGAGAACGAGTTTGAGACTCTACCAGACGGAGTGGTGGTGCCGGCCGGGACGCTGAAGCCTGTCAGCGGTCACCAATACTTGCTGTACAACGAATTTATTGTTTACCGACGTGAACAGATCCAGCTACGCTACCTTGTGGCTTTGGACTATTTGAAAGCTTGATAAAATACAAAACCAGCCGTTTTTACTTTCAATCGAAAACAATAACAGACGCTGTTGATAGCAGCTACGAAGCGTATTGCATGTACAAATTTTCAAGAATTTGCTGCTGATTCAGCAGCTATTTACTTGATAGGCGATTCATGGAGGTGAGTATGACCACTGACACCGTTCTAAACGCCAAAACTTGTCATCCCCTATTGAGTTGTTGAACAAGGTAAAGTTTGTGAAGTGCTGGCACATATGAAGATCTTGCAAGAACTGGATAATAAAACGAATGAAAACAGCAAAGAAGAAGAGTGTCCGCTGGAACACCCGAAGGATCCGACAGCACCCACAAGGTTAGTCGAATGGCTGCTACTGAAGAAGACTACGAGACACCATGTACGTTTTTAGCATTCGTTTGGTTTGCTCCACCATTATAGACAAAGGGGATCGTGAGTGCGGTCGCAAGGAGTTGTGCGATCTTATCAACCTTATCTTCCTCTACGATGATGAGGACAATGGATAGGAGGAAACGCGCAGTAGGCTATGAGCGCAAGCATTCATGCGCTAAGCAAGATGCGGCTGGAGTCCATATCGTTGTCGTTTCTGTCTTCTAACTTTATCCCTTATGTGCATTGCTGACTGCCTAACTTGCTTGAAGAAATTACTATCGCCTTCGCTCTTGCCATGATTGAACGCGCTTATGCGGTGCTTTCAAGCATGTGAATTACTACCACCTTATGCGCTGCACAATGTCCAGAGCATGGAGAAAGTAAGCGCAACCATATTTCCCACTAGCTTTCGCGATAAACTTGTGTAACTAAATAGGCAATCACATCTTGCGCATAACGATCGGCATCGCCGTCGCCATCAAAGCTGCGCTGCAACTCCTCGCGACACTCTGCCAGCGGCAAACTGAATAGCGGGATAACCTTGTCGGCAAGCTCCTGAAAGTAGCGGCACACCTGCTTCTCACCCCGAATGAAGAATAAGGCCTGGATACGGTTGGAAAACAGTGGGTACTTCTTTGAGGCCAGAAGCTTATTGTCCTCTTCAATAGTTGTACCGTACAGACTTAGTTGGTGGGTCATGAGGTTGCGTAAATACTGAAGCGCGCGAATCTCATTATCGAAAGAAATAGGCGGAGATGAGTGCGCCGGGCTTTTCATCTTCATCGAGGTGAATTCTTCCTCGGTAGCAACAATCAAACGAGCAAAACTGAATCCTTCGCGTGTGTTGGCATCGGAGTGCGAGCAGCTAAGACGCGCATCCATCGTGTAAATGCCACTTTCATGCAGATATGCTCGCTTGTCATAGTAGAGCTGTCCATCAGCAGGTTGAAGCTGGAAATCAATGAGCACCTCATTCGGGTTACGTCCATCCTCCTCCGTGTTGTCCTCGACCGCAAAGCCATAGTTTAGCAAGAAGCGGTGGTTGCATTTTTTGCCGTACGAGTCGTAAACCTGTGCGCCTGCGCCAATCGTGCCGAGCGACGTGATGGTAAAAGCGTCAATGCTTTGATCAAAAGTCCAACTCGTTTCACGCGGACGATAGTGATTGAGCATGTCTGCAAAAGGAACGAGCGCTGCTGTCTTGACGCCGTCAATTGTCAAGCCAAAATTGCGACTGCAAACGATCATCCGTGCCCAGCTAAAGCGATCGAGGGAGAACCTAGCAAATGATGGATCCACTCGACAAATAACGTCATAGTCTTTTCGAATTGCAGCCTTTCGTTCTTGAATCTGTTGAACAATATAGGATCCCTTAAGCCAGTTCATTTCGTCTTCGGACCAAAAGATTGGCATGTTACTTAGTGTAGAGGGTAAAGTGCTATAATAATTACGAAAAAAAGATGTTTCCATGTGTTCCATATCCGTTAGAAGAAACATCATGAGATAAATGTGCTTTGGTGCGACAAAATCAACGTTACGAGCCAAGAGTTTACGGCCAATATCGGTTTGTTTACCCATTTCAACTGTCACTAGACACTTTTTCGGTATCACAAGGATACGTTCTCCTGGTACAAGTACTTTACGACTATGTACACCACGTACTTCAGGTGCGTATTCCTGTAATGTTAATTTCTTTGAGTCAGCTCCATTTGCTTCAAGCCATTGAATCAGCTCTTGTCCCACGACGTCTTCGACGTTATAAACGTCATGAGGTGGTGAAGAATCAGTACTACAAGGTGAACAAGTGGATGGTACTTGATTAGATGTAATTGAACGTGATGATACTGTCGTAGAGGAAGATACGGGCGCATTAGAAGAAGCTGGAACACTCGATATTGGCAGCGATGGAGCGCTCATGACCAATCGTGTGTCTGTGATTGAGAGGTGATGACGTGTCATTAAAGAGAATATAGACTGTCACTACAACGGAGGGAATGACAGTCAAACATGTAAACAGTAGCTAGTCATTGAAGTGGATTGTAACGGCTGACTATGTTCCAGTGTTTGGTTGTAATACTGTAATTCTAATCAAAATGATAGGAAATCCTATAGTAATAGTAAGCTTTCGTCATGTCGATTGATATACAACTTGGATGTGTTCGTGTATTTACAATGCCATGAACCAACAACAACAGTAACGCATTGTTGCACTTGGTTCGATTCATCTGTACAAACACTTCTATAGTGAAAGAAACATCCGACCATTCATGTTGTAACACAACCCCTCCCCTTATTAGTAATAGTAGTAGTACTAATAACTAAAGTCATGTATATATCGCTTTTCTTGGTAGCGTGTATGTATATCAAGAGACGAGACAGTCTTGACGTCTCTATGTCATTAAAGATTCAGCAGCACGTACATAAGTCTAATCTTAAACCTCGTATCTTTGTAGTCGGTCGCACGAAGCATTTACTTAAGAGACACTTTTGGACAATTCAACATTCAAACAACAATAAAACAAGTCCTAAGCTGTCGCTATTTATTTGATCATCACTCTCTCTCACCACCATCATCATCATGCGAATGTTAACTATGACGCCGCTCTTTCACCACACGGAACGTCGTCGACGACAGAACGCGACATCACATGACGTATGTAGTCCCTTAGCTAATAGTGAGAAGGATGACGATGATGATAATGATGATAATAATAATGATGATGACGACGACGACGACGACGAGAGTGATGATGATGACGACGTCCAGGAACTTGACCCTATTGACGGGTTTCCAAGTCCACCCATGCGTCTACGACCACGTCGTCGTTTTGTTAAAGCTGGTCATACAACCTATGAACTTTCTTTCTCTAGACGTCAAGTACATCCACGTCAAGCACAAAGAGGAGGACGTATGCAACTAGCAACAAGGAAGAGTTTAAACAATGAACAAAACGATGACGAGTATAAAGCAGTTCCAGCTGTTTCCTCTCTCTCTCGTGTCTTGACAGAAGTCATGACGGGAGAAACGAAAGCACTGAATAATATTATTGATACAACACCACCACAGCCAAATGTAACGTATGTAGTGGAACACGCAGCGGACGGAACGTTCTACGTAGCAGCATCCGACGGCAATCGATATTTTGCAAACTCGGCGATTGGACAAATTTTTATCAAGCCCAATGAACACGACGTTGCACAAGACCAACGATTGGAACGGGCTTGTATGCCGTCAGGTAAAGTACCCCATCGAACGTGGCAGCCACAGCCAGTACCGCGAACAAAACAATTGGACCCTGTCGGTGCAGAAAAAATAATTACGATTGTAAGTAACTTGCCAATGGTAGAGGTTACAAAAAGCGCTGCACAACAGTTTGCAGAAAAGGACGTTGATGTCAAGAAAGGACCAAAGGCGCTGTTGGGATCAAAAGGATTTCAATTGGGAAAGAAGAAAGAAAAGAAAGGGCCAGCGACTGATATAAAGGTACAACAGAAGCAAGATGACAGTAGCAATGCAGCAGTTATAGACGCTACTCACGTCATTGCTCACAAAGAAGTTGATGATCAGCGTCCGATGCTGGATATAGAAAATGTCGTACAAAGAAGCCGTGCAGACTCAGTCTGGCAGGTGGCGCCGCCGATGAGTAACGCGCGACAGGAACTCGAAGCACCTCAACCTACGGAAATAAGACTTCTTGACTCGAAGGGTTTGCAGACTGCTAATCAAGCGAGATCAGACTTGCTTGCAAGTTTGGCAGCTGCCACAAACGAAAACGACGTTAGTGATAATAGCTCCTCGTGTAGCTCACTTAATGCTGGTAGTTTTACCAGTTCTACAGGTTCCATGGGGGCATCGATTAAAACTCTTCCTCGACTCCAACCGAAGCAGGAATTGCCAGCGCTACCAATTGCATTTGATGCGTATGACGAGGATGACAATCCGATGTGTCGATCTTTCCAGAACGTGCGTAACGTGGACTTGATTCCGTTAGTGTCAGATAAGCGTCTTGATGAGGAGGAGCATAAGGATAGTCATGACGAAGAGTATGGCCATGACGAAGAGCATGGTCATGACGAAGAGCAAGCATGTGTAGCGGCGGTTGGAGATGACGATATTCCGGATGTAAACTCGCCCGACTTTGCTGGTCGTGTTCGTGTGTCATCAGGCGCAACGAGCGTGGCGGAGTTTGTTGGCGGCTTTAAGGGTCAACTTTCTCGGCGATCAGGTGCAAGTGGCTTGGTGAATCGCAAGCGGGCTGTGCGGCATGCGCGGCTTACAGCAGAAGAGCAGAAGGCAGCAGATTTAGCGCGGAAAATTCGTGAGGCTCGTAACCGTGTTCCACTTGAGTTTAGGGACGAGTATATGTCTGCCTCAGCACAAAACGAGCTTCAGCAGAAGAGGAATATGCGTTCTCGTGGTCGGCGTGTTCATTTCAACCCTGAAGTGCTGTGTCGCGAGTTTGATGTCGAGTCGGAGGACGAGGATGACGGCTATGACAGTCCAGATGAAATCGTGGATGCTGTCCAGTTAGTGAGTAAGCGCGATGTTGTCCATGCCGAGGACGTGGTTGCAGCGGTTCCGATGCAGCAATTGGAGCTGCCGTCAAAGAAAATTTTGGAGGCAAATGTTCACGGCAATGAAGCTCCTGTACTTTCACTTGTTGGCGCAAATACTGAAGGGCTCCAAATTATGCAGAACGATCCCTTGTCGTGTTCGCAGCTCAATAACGACAAGCGAATGTCGTTTTCCGATCTTTAAGAGTGAAGGTGGAAGAAGGAAGGAGGCACCCGACGTGATCAGGTAGTAAGTAGCGTATCTATTTGGAGGGGAAGTTGAGAGCAGAAATTCGCCTCCCTCGCCACACACAATTGAAATATCAGCGATTTCTTGTATTTTTTCGCTCACTTTATGGTGCTGCAAGTGCACGACCAACGGGTCCTTTCGGCTTATTCGTTTACATTGTGGTGAATCTGGTTTACGTCCTCGACTTGATAAAGAGCGTCAATGAGCTTGTCGAAGGTCTCCCGCTGCTCATTATCGAGATCTAAATATTCCTTTGGGGCGTAGACGAGCTCGGAAACAGCGGGCTCCAGTCCGGCCTCTGTAAAGAATTTGCGCACAGGAGCTAAGCCACTTGGATCACACATGACCTGCGCCAAGCCCTCACGCATCTCGATATTGTCCGCCCCCGCGTCCAGCTAGCCAACCGTATAAACAATCAACCAGAACGACAACAGATTAAGGTCAAAAAAGCACAACAGAATCCGACCATCTCGGTTGTAACGCACCGCAATCGATATGAGCAAGTCCTCGTCAACCTTTGGTTTGCCGCCGTTCTCCAAAGGCAATTCAATCTGCATAGCAAACAAATGGACATGTCAGAACTATCGCTAGTCGTTGCAACCATGGCGATGTCGTACCTCAAGGTAACCTTTGTAGTCGAACATCCAGGCGACTGAGCCATTCGTGCCCAGAGCACCACTGTACTTGCCCAAGATGTGGCGCAATGCAGGTGCTGTTCTGCGCTTGTTGTCCGTCAATGTTTCAATCTACACGCAAAATAAGCAAGTACACAACGTGACAGCATTTAAACAAACTTCTACACCCAAAGGTGAGAGCGTATCAAGTCATTTACACAAATACCATCAAAGCGCTTCCAGCTGGACCTGTCGCCTCGTACAACACAGTCTCAGCGTCGCTACCTGACATCCGCATTTTCATTTACTTTCATGTGCACTGCAATACAACAAGATGCTTCGTAGACGTCTTTTTACCGTCTTTGCCCTCGATACCACGTTTAATCGCAGCCTCAATCGTATCTTTTGACATGTTCACTGCCTTGGCTTTTTTCACGACTGCTACAAGTCTCTGCAACAATCAACCTAAGTACAGCATCACAAAGCACCAGCAGCTCTTTCGCACTCTCTCACTCTCTTTCTCTTACCACATTATGAACATCTCCTCCCACCGCTACAACAGACAAGCGTTTATCATTCATACACCAACTGGTCAGAATAACGAAACACCATCATCTCCAAGTCACGTTCTTTTCTCTTTCTTACACTTGGAAACAACCATCAATTCCCGTGCTAATGAAGCATTAGTAGCCGTGCGTTTCTTCCATCAGTTGATACATCAATTCAGTCAGTTTGAATGGTCTTGTTACTACTGCTACTAGTATCATATCATGGCCATACTTTTCTATCCATAATTGTTACCTACCGCATCGGTCGCATTTTTCTTGCCTTGTATTGTAGGACCTCGGCCCATATAGCGCACATTCTGGTGATAGATACAATTCATGCCAATCAGCTTGCGCGTCATGTTCATAACGGTACAGCATTTAGTAAGCATTTTTATAATCAATGTATGGCTCAAAATTACCGAACGAGGGCTAGGAATGAGTTCAAGAGCAGCAAGGAGAGCGTGTTGATTGGCTAGGTCACTTCAACTTGGTCATGTCCTGTCGGCAAGAAATCTCCAGAAATAAAGTGATTAAACATGACAAGTTAGGACCATAAACAAATAGTATTGACTCGAATAACGGAAGTGAAGTGACAAGCTAGGGACTTTGATGAGAGAAACGCTATGGATTAACGGTCCTATGTCTCGATCACGATGCGTGAATAGCATCAGTTTCCAATCTACTTCCTTAAAAGACAAAGGAAGAGACTAATGGTGACCAAGGACATTCTTAATCAAATCTTTCGCTTGAAACATGAGACGCCAAGTAACTGTCAAGATGCAGCAGTTAGCTGTAAGCTAGCGACTTTTTTTGCGGCCTTTGCGACGTCTTTGAAGGCAACAGGAGGTCAAGAACTGAAGTGTAGCCATGTAGAACCTCTCACGGACGACCGAATTGTTGCAGCGTCCCTCTTTACAACTCATGAGATTCATGTGCTACAACAATTGGCTCAACGTCTCACAACTTTGGGAGGAAGACACGAGAGAGGTGACGTTTGGTACGACCCATGGCTTCCAATGTATGGATGCGTGTTACAGCGAACCAGTTTATGTAACACTAGAGTCAGGATTGAAGTGGTGTTTGTCGACGGCTGGGAGCGCACGCTACACTTTTTGCCATCTGGAGACTGCGTGCATAGTGCAGTTTCTAAGACACAACACGTCTTGCATTGCGCAGATTTGGACACGAAATCAGAGGCCGTATTTTCTGAAAATTTTCCGATCAAGCTGCGCGAAGCACAGAATTGCAAAGGGTCTGACAGAAGTGCAGCAAAAAACAAATTGGGACACCAAAAGACCCCACAGTTTATTGCTGCAGTGGTGAGGCGTACCGTCAATTCATTAGGGAAGGAGGTTAATGATGTCGCTTTGAGCGATGGTCCTAGAGGAGGCACAACTGATGTGGGGCTACATACCGGAGGGCAAGCGCGGGACACTTGTTGGGCAGTCGTTCAAGCTGTGATTGCACACAATCTTTGCTGTGAACCGGGTCTGTTTCGAAAGACTATGGTTGCAATGAAGCTGAAGCTGCTTCAAGGGAAAGTGACGGACGCTGAGAGAGATTTTAGTCAGATTAATCTGAAAACTGGATGCACGTCCGTGGATGATCTGGTTTTCATGTTGCAAGTTATCGTCGAAAACATTGTCGAGCTGTTTGAGTGTGGGTACGACGTCTCATCGCTTGAGGAGCAATGTCGTAGCTTACGCTTGAAGATTGATGGGTTTGTTGACGTCCTGAACCGCCAGACTGCAGAGAAATATTGTTTGCCGAGAGACAATGAGCTAAATGAACTTACCAAGTTAAGTTGTGGTGCAAAGATGATAGTTCCAAAGCGAGTAAGAAATGCTGACAACGATGAGAGTAAAGAAGAGCGTCGTCAGCGAGCATGGAATTATTTGAAGGGGTGCTTTTTTGTACATGGAGCATCGTGCTCCCTAAACGAGGTGCTTCAATGGAGCAAAAACAACGATTTTCCAGCGTCCTACAAGTGCATTCTGATACTGCGAACGTTTGAAGCTTTTATGTTTGAGAAAGCGCTGCAGCTTAATGGTGACGGTGCCTGCAATCAAAGAACTGGAAATGATGCTCTAAATTTGAAGATGATGCAAACACTTGTTTCACAGTACGGTGCTGTTGTGAGGTCATGGCAAACACTGCCACGAATGACGTCCGTCCTAGATGTGGAGCAGCGCAGTCGCGAAATGTTGGTGGTGTGGATTGCGTTTTGCATTGTTCATCAACAATGCGTGAGTGAAGTCCCATTGTGCGGTAGCTACAATATTTCACTCGAATGGAGAGACCTCAAGGTAGCAGTTTTAAGTGATCAAGCAGCCATTTCTGCCCTACAGCACGTTGCACAGTATATTCGCACGTGGAACAACACTACCCAAAGGCCACCCTTATTCCACTTGACGAACCAGGAGCCAACTTTTGATTTTGGTCTAAGATATGGACTCAATAGCACCAATATGCTGGAAATGCACCGTTGCGAAAACAAGAACTGGGAAGCTCGTGTGAAAGCCAAGTGGAATAAAGTTATAACGAAGAAGAGAAGGGCTGTGGAGCTTCGAGCAGAAATTTCGCGTCTGAATGTAAATCTGTCGTCAAACAAATGCCAGCTTGCAAGTGAGGACGAGCGTCTACGCCAAGAGAAGAGTTATCTTGGCTATCGTGATCGTCAAAGCCATCTGAAAACGCAATTGATGAACGACATCAATCAAATTGAGTGTAGAATTAGGACAAATGAACGAGAGCTGACCAGCACTCTTGATGTTCCACGCTTTTTGAGACGACCGCTTCCCCCAGCAAGAGATGATGCGATTCAAGTAATTTTTATGTTGATCATGCCACGCAACATCGAAATTTTGGGTAGCTTATGCTTAACTGCACAGCGTTCACTTACCCCAAGAAACGCAACGGGAGCTTTGCCGACTTTGAGCTCAACAACATGGCAAGAGTTTTATTCGCAAAATGCACCAACTAAAGCATTACGCGCTACCAGCAAAGTGTTCACACCGAGCCCTGCTCCATTTTCTATTCCAAGTTCGTGCGGACCCATTACGGTAGACGATTTGTACAATATTTCTCAGTACAGGTCTGAATGTGTTTGGAATCCTACCTTCGCTGGAACGGCTCTGACGTGGGTGGATGCTATCGGTATGAAGGTCAACCCTTTTGACGTGTTGCAGTCGAGCGTGATCACCACTTTTATCGAGAAGATGCCCCAATCGCTCAACCATATCCAGTGGATGAATGATTGGCCTGATGAAGGGGGCATTCGTGGAAACATGGTGTATGCCAACCTTCATCAGCAACCTAAAGATTTTGAAAGGGTGTCGTTCATTGTTCTCGGATCGTTACGTGCGTTTCCGAACCAACAATTTCGAAAGCTTCACTGGGCTCTACTCGAGGATGTGCTTCCGTGGTCGAATCTGTGTGTAGAAATGATCGTGCGGCAGTCGCTTTACCAAGTGGGAACACTCACTGACGAACTCAATCCTCACCTTCTTTGGAAGTCTGACATGTTTAATGGTGACAGGGGCTTAGAATCATTCTGCGTGACGCTTGAAGGAATTGCCAGCAAAATTAGACAGACACCTCGTAATTTCGAATCCGTCCCGCTTCTGAGTGAGCTAGCAGGTTTTACGTCGCAGTACTGGTATGATGCAAGAGTAGTTGTGAAGATGTTTGCAGGGATGGCAAGACGCTGGGCGAAGGATGCGCGCGTTGAATACGAGCAAGAATCTTCGCCTTGCCGGATTGCTGAAATCCGACGTAAGGAATGCGTTTTGTATGGTTTTGCGCTGCTGTCTTATAGTCTTGGACCATGGAACGACGAAGCAGCTCAAGAAGTTTGTGAGATGATTGTGTTATTTCGCACTTCTTTTCTTTGTGCAAGCATTAACATGACTCCTACCAAGGAAATGATGTGTACAGAAAGCAAGATTGCTGAGACGATGTCCCGCAGAGTGTCGGAGCTTATTTCTTACGTACAAAATCACGATATTGATACAATTCTGACTGGCTTAATGCGCTTGGTAAGTGCAACATCTCCTGGACAATTGAAATGGAGACAATTTAGCGAGCTACCGGAGAGCGGGCAGTTTGGTAGCTGCTTTGAAGCATCCGATGAGTCAACGAATGTGCACTATTCAATCAACCTGTTCACGGGCATCGTTCTTACTGACGGATATGCTCCTGGAGGACTTCCATTCGAAATTCGTGAGCACAAGAGCTTTCAATCTCTGTTTGGGAACTCTAACTTTGAAGTTTTCTCTACAAATGGAGTTCTCCGACTTGAACGAAAGTACGTCGATCGCTTGTACGACTTTGCACTGGAAGCAGGAAGCGAGCTTTTTGTCCAAGAACTAACTGTAAACGCTGATGGCGACGTCGTTAGAACGCTACAAATATGCGCCGTCAGTTGGGTTGAAGCGTTAAGCGAACAATTTCCAGCTCAATTGTGGGAATTGTACTCTCACTGGTATTGGGTAGAGCAGAACTGTGTCCTCTTCCGACCAAAGGAGGCCAAACATCGTGAGGTGTATTTTATTGCTACATTTGATGACAGCGATACTTTGCAATGCTATAAAATACCTTTCAACGACATCAAGCGTCCGTACGACGAACTCATGAGTGATCTTACGGACTACGACCGGTTTGTTGCTCAAGAAGAATCTCTTGTCGATGTTCTTAGAGTGTTGACAAAGTTTGAGGATGCACAGTTTCTTCATTCATTGAGATCTTCTAAAGGCGTACTGATGATTGAGCTCCCTCGGTTCAAGCTGACGTTTTACCTCAACAGCAACATGCAATTTGAATCTGTGGAGAACAAAGGCTATATCTTGGCAAAAACGCAGCAGTTTAACGATTTTCTACCGAGGTTCAGGCGATACCTGCTACTCGACCTGAAAGACAAGTCGGACATATCACGACCAGAACTGCGTATGCTCGTTCCACTTGGTCTTGTCGAGGAATCTTCGGATGGTATGGTTGATATCAGGATTGATAGTAATGCGAGTACTCAACTGGATGTGGCATGTTATGATATTCACCGCCGTTTGAAGACGTTTGAAACTGAGACGATTGGTGCGAGATTGCAGTTAGCTGCAGTGTGTGCTCGAGCTGGAACGAATGTACCAAGCAAGCTACTGAACATGACTGGCGAAGAGATGACGGCACAAATTTTACGAGCATGTAGGTCAACTCGACCCTTTTCTGCCTCGGAAAGAGACGCCTTGCTGTCTATCTACAAGTTGAGTTACCGCGAACCAGTGGTGAAAATTCTGGTTGTAGCGTTGCTCACTGAGGCTGACCGGCAAGCGTTTCTCTTTGGACAAACGGAGACAAGCAGTACGATTAATACACAGATGGGAAGCAGTGACGAGAAAACAGAGTACGCAGATATGTGTATGAGGCAAGTCCAGCGCAACCCATTGCGTGCACAACTTCGTAACGACGAGGAAAGAATCATTCTTGGACACGTGCGGCATCTGTCAGCATTGACTTCAACTAAAGAAGTTGAATTGTCCGATTCACTTCCAGTAACCGACGACTATGTGAAGTCCATCGAAAAAGAGCTTCAGTTTTTTCTTCAGATTGAGGCTGACACAGCGAAAAAAGTCCCGCTACTACCGCTGGATAGCAGTACGAAGAACACGATGGGCAGAGAAATGCTGCAAGAGCTGCAAGTGAGCTGGAATAGCTACCACTCGCAGATTGAGCCGAAATTAAAGAATGAGCCCGGCCTGCTACTCGGCTCGTTTGAGACGCTACTGAGTGATGTATCATCTCAACGTGCAAAAATGGAAACGTATCTGTGGGAGTCCTATACAAAGGCTACGAGCAGTACCCGTGATCGACTTCTAAGCCTTGCCAACTTTGTGCCGGTACTTACTGTATGTGATATTGTCCGCTGTGGTTTTGACGAAGAAACACTACACACACTAGTGCCGAAGTTGAGTGAGAAATCGAGAAAGGTGTTCTCACAAGGTATTCTCCAGTACATGGAGCTGTGTGTACTAGAAGATAAAGTAAAGAGGCTGATCTGGATAGCGAGTCGCAGTGGTGAGCTATCAGACGCTCAACTGATTGACGAACTTGCGAACATTCGTCAGTGGGAATCGACGGAATTTCCATACTGGTTGGCGTTTGAAGTGGAGGGTAGACTTCAGATTCGACACGAACAGTTTGTGATTGCTCGCCACCTCATTGATCGCCAAGGAACAGTTTGCCAGCTTAACATGGGGCGTGGTAAGACCAGAGTAATCTTGCCGATGCTGTTTCTCTATTTCACGCGCCGTCGTTCCACGCGAGTTGTTCGTGCGCACTTTTTGAGCCCATTGCTAAGCGAAGCAAGACAATTCATGCACCGATACTTGTCGGCAACTAGTGCTCGCCTAGGTGTGTTTGAACAACCATTCCATCGACAGGTCGAACTGAATTCTTGCAGGCTTGAGTTAATGCGTGATACCCTTGACGAGTTGAAGCTTTTCGGAGGCATTCAAATGGTAGCCCCGGAACATCGCATGTCACTAGAACTGAAGCGTTTGGAGATGGGCAATGATAAACCTATGGTGGAGATGCTGGACAAAATCCTTGACAGCGACCAGTTTGTGGATGTTATGGACGAGTGTGATGCACTGCTTCACCACAAGTATCATTTGGTGTATGCGGTGGGTGTTCCCATTCCACTTGATAGTGGAGTGGAGCGTTGGATGGCTGCAGAAGCGCTACTGCGAGTTGTGGCGGACACATCCTCTAACTCTCGAGTACGTAAGGTATTACAAGCTCCACATGTGTCTTGTATTTCGCTGGACTACGCCACGCGCTTGGGCTCATACGAGGGCACTCGCCTGAATACCGTTGTGGATAGCACTGAACTGTTGCGAGATGAACTTAAAGAGGCATTGGTACTAGATCTCATTGATTCTGCACCATTTGAATTGATGTGGCTAAACGCCTTTGGTAGCAGTACTGCTCGTCAAGCGATCGTCACCGCAATCAGTGATTCAAAAGTGAGTGTACAGGACGCTCTCGGGGATCACATATTAAAGCTTGCACTTTACACAACTCAGCTGTTAGCGTTAAGAGGTCTCGTAGCATTTGGTGTGTTTGAACACTGCATGGAGAAACGCTATCGAGTTGATTTTGGCCTTCCAGTTCCAGGCACACGACAGAAGAAAATCGCAATTCCTTTTCGTGCCGCGGATGTGCCTTCGGAGCGATCTGAATTTAGCCACCCTGACGTCTGCATCGTGCTCACACTACTTGCGTATTATCACAATGGCATGACAAAAGAAGAGATTAAACAAACGTTTCAGCTACTGTTGCGGTTGGATATCTCGGAGCAGAATCGACAATACAATCGATGGTTTGATAGTGTGAAGCTTGGCTTGAACAACGATGATCGGATGGCTCTTTCTGATGTCCGCCATATAAGTCTCGCCGATGCTCGACAGTTTGAGATGCTTTATAGAGTCTACAAATTCTGCATGGAGGCGATTAACTTTTACCTCAATACGTGTGTATTTCCAAACGATACTCAGCAGTATCCACAACGGCTGTCACGAACGGCCTGGAACCTTGCAGCAGGCGATCACAATATCGGGTTCTCGGGTACGAACGACAATCACCGTTTGCTTCCACTTTCAGTGACGCAAAAGGAGCCAAATGAGCCTTCACTGCTGGGAACGAATGGAAAGATGATTGACAAGATTCTGCAGGTGACACACAGTTACGAGGTGGTAACAACGAATCCAGAACGTGCACCAATTCCATGGCAAAGTGTTCTTCTCTTTGCACTGAACAAGAAAGCGCAGGCTCTTATTGATACAGGGGCGCTTCTTGCCGGAGTAAGTAATAACGGCGCAGCAGATTTTCTTTTGCAACAACCTGACTTTGACTTTGCTGGAGTGACATACTTTGATAGTAGAGGAGATCTCAACTGCTGGATGATAGCCGAAAAAACTCGACGAATCAAGGTGCCTTTGAAAAAAGCGTCGATGCTCGAGAAGGAGACGTTTGTGATCTTTGACGAAGCTCGCTCGCGAGGATCCGACATGAAGCTACTACCGAATGCTGCTGCCGTACTGACACTTGGACCAAAACTTACGAAGGACAAATTAATGCAAGGAGCGGGACGAATGCGGCAGCTTGGATGTAACCAAACGCTATGGATTGCAAGTTTTGATGAGGTTGCACAGAGTATTCTTCAGACGAGTGGTCAGCAAAAACTATCCTGTATTTCTGCAATTGATGTGCTAAATTGGGTCATGGATAACACGAAAGCAGAGGCTGTGCGTGGGCTGCTCGAGTGGGCAGGTAATGGTATACATTTTCGCGAGACCCAGTTACACCATGACAAAGAATTGGTTGACGAGAATTGGTCTTTGGAGACACTATATCAAGAGAAGGTGTATGCAGATCAAATTGCTCGAGTGATTAAGTCGAAGGCATGTTTGTATTTGAAAGAGTGTGTGGATGCTTTGGTTGATCAAATTTGCCGTAGAGGATTTGTGTACGGTATTGACGATGTAGTGTGTATCAGTTCACACACTGATGAGTGTGAACGTGAGTTGCAAGTGGAAGAAGAGATTCAAGTGGAACCCGAAGTTGAGCATATGACGTGTTTGCCCAGTAAAGAGAAGGTGTGGAAGTATGCAAATATCCTACATGCTACATCCGTTGAAGACCTTCATGACGATATACAAGTAATGGAAATGACAACCTTTATCCGTCAATGGATTTCACCAAAAGAGTTGACGGATCTAGCGTGGACAAAGTCACGTATTTATGGGACGGAGAATTTCTTTTCGACGATCAAGGCTCAATCTAGTCTCGATCGTCTGAATGTATACCTACGTCGGATTGATGTTGTCTTGGTGTTTCAGAATGATCAAATTTTACTAGTCTCCGAATGTGAAGCTGATCATATTTTGGCATTACTGTGGTCTTATCAAGATCATGATGAAGCAAGAAGTTGTGGATTTAGTTTTATGAATTATGCTTTTGGGTTGCATCGTGTCGTTTATGGTGATGAAGAGATGAGATTTCAAGAGATTGACTTGGTCCGTGGTTGTCGACTGAATCGAAAAGTGCCACGATTAGCAATTATTGCCTGTCATGTTTACAATGGAGAGACAATGGTAGAAACGAATGAAGAAGCGGTGGAATGTCTGTTTCGTGCGTTTCTTGCTCCACTTGCTCAACGTGAAGTTGCATTGAGTAATTTTGTATGTTCACGTGGGAATAGTCACAAATGGATGCGTTCATTCTTGCATGAACTTTGTTATCGTATGGATTTGGAAGAGAGTACTTGTAGCTGTGGCAAGTTTTAGTGAAATGGGTCATTTTGCTTATTGGTTAGGAACAATTGGTGCTTTTTCTTACATCTTTTTATTCAACTCGTTTAATGTTTTTTGCTTTTTTAACGGAAACAAATGCATATAAAAATATTATTAAAAATGCGCATGATGTCTCTTTAGAAATGGGTATTCCTTTAGGTTTATTAGCTTTTGGTTGTTGTTTAGGCGTTTTGATATAGCTAGTACAAGTTATAAGTCGCGTAAGTTCGCGAAAAACAACAATGCGAGTCGGCTTAAGTTAGTTCACTATATATTAACATTTAGGTAGAAATCCGTATACGCGTATGAATACCCTGAGATTATCTCCTCCTTAATAACAAGTTAGTCATATTACATGGGACGCAATGTACTCTGTTCACTTCATCAATCCAAAGTATGTTCAATTGTTACTTCTCATTGTCAGTTGATAGGACTGATAGAGAATCTTCAAACTCACGTCGAATCTGCTTGACTAAAACTGACACATAGTGAAAGAAAACAGTGAGGCTTTATGACCTCAAACGATCGTAGAAACCATCAAACTTATAGAAGGTTTCGTTCATTCACTTCTCATATATATCGACATGACAATCATGAAACGCAAAAGAGAATTGACCGACTTGGATGAAACGATTTTACCGAAACGAGAAAAAATCGATCGGTTCGAGATTGACAATGTCGTTTTTTGCTTGAAACACAAAGTTCCAAGTACTCGGCAGGATAAAATCTTATGCAAGACATTGATACACTCGTTTTCTGCATTTGTTACAGCCCTTCGGTATGTGGTGGATGATGCTACGACAATTCGTCAATGTGGACGAGCAAATCCGCTTTTTCATGATCGGATGATCCCAATTCATGTTTTTACGATCCATGAAATGGATGTGCTACGAGAAATTTGTGACCGTTTGAACAAACACCCATGGAAGGATGATATCTATGATCGATGGGATATTTGCTATGAGCCATGGCTACCTGAATATGGCTGTGTATTGCAACGAACAATGATCAATGCAGCAAGTATTCAATTGGATGTCATTTTTCTAGACGGATGGACGCAAACACTGCATTTTCTACCAACGGGCAAGTGTATACATAGTGCAATGTCCATGACAAATAAGCACCAAACAATATGTTGTGGCTACTTGGATACTGCGTTCGAGAAAGAATTTGATGCAGCTTTTCTCAAGAAATTGCATGCTGCTCAAGTGAACAAAGGATCGAAACGGAATGCTGGATTCAATACGTTAGGACATCAAAAGACACCACAATTTATTGTTGCAGTCGTGCGTCGTGCTATTGCTGCAGCAAGTAAGACCAGGTCAAAGGGAGAAGAAGAAGACAGCTATATTGATGAACGGTTTTTTCCTCAAGGAGGAACAACAGATGTGGGACAACATACGGGAGGAAACCCACGTGGTACATGCTGGCCAATAGTTCAAGCAGTGATTGCGGAGAATCTTTGTTGTGGTCAAGGATTTTTTCAAAAGATAATGGTGATGTTTCAGCTAAGCTTACTTCAAGCAGCTATGCTTGAGACGCAGAGTGCATTTGGTCGTGGGATAGATCTTAAAGACGGTTGTGACGCTGTGGATGACCTGTTTTCCATGCTGCAAGTCGTCATTAAGGCCACGGTTGATCTTCTTGAGGGTGGATATAACATCTCAGAAGTGCATGATCAGTGTAAATATCTGCGAAGTAGTATTGATGGTTTGGTGGACTGCCTCAACGACAAGACCGCAATGTGCTATTGTCTGCCAGATCCTGCCAAGATGCAGCAACTTCACACACTTAACGGTGGTATTAAAGTCGAGTCACCAAGACGTGAACAAGTCGTGAGCCCTGAAGCAAGCGACGAGAAACGTCACCTCCGTGTATTAACAAATCTGGCAGGATGCTGGTATCTTGATGGGGTTACGTGCAGTCTGAAAGCGTTGCTTTCTTGGGAAAAGTCTAGCGGTGCTTCAAAATCATACAAGTGTATTCTGGTATTAAGGACGTTTGAATCGTTCATGTTTGCAAGATCTGCCGGCTTAAGCGGTGAAGATGTCTACAAGAAATCGTGTGACGATGATGAGAATTTCATTGAAAATATCAAGATGTTTTCTACATTATATAAGGAAAATGTCTGTGCGTGGCGTCAGATTCCACAGTTGACGTCCATTTTGGATGCAGAACAACGCAGCCGAGAGATGCTAGTGATGTGGATTGCATATTGCTTCGTTCACCAGAAATGCGTGGACCAAGTCCGCTTTTGCGCTGAGTACAACATTGCGCTTAATTGGCAGGACCTGAAAGTAGCAGTTTTAAGTGACCGTGTTGCTATAACTGCACTTCGGAGTGTGAGCAAGTACATTCGGGGGTGGAACGAAAAAACTCGAGGACCTCAACTATTTCACTTGACCAACCAGGACCCGACGTTTAGTTTTGGACAAAGGTTTGCTCTGAACAACAGCATTATGATGGATATATACAACCGAGACGTTGCAGCTTGGGAACAGCATGTGCAGAGAAAATGGAAAGAGATCGAAAGAAAAAAGAGCATAGTCGCTGAAATTCGCGCTCACCTTGATTGTCTTACGGAAAAGCTACAATCGAAACAGCGTGAACTGGCTGACGAAAACGACCGCATGACCGACGGATATACAGCTCACTACAACAGCAAAGTGAAAACGAAATTGACTGCTGACATCGTGTTCATTGAATCGCAAATCAAACAATCTAAAAAGTCGCTGAAAAAGAAGCTTATTCCTCCTCCTCCTCTCGTTCGACCACTGCCACCGCAGAAAGACCATGCCATCCAGATCATATTCATGCTGACCATGCCTCGAAGTTTTGAGCTTCTCGGAAGTTTGTGCCTAATTGCTCAACGAGCTCTTGCGCCAACAAAGCCAACAGCTGAAATGGAGGCGTTTACAAGTTTGAGCAACACGACATGGAAAGAATTTTACTTTAAAAATGCACCATCTCAAGTGCTGCATGCAACCACGTTGGAGTTCACAGCAACTCCTGGTGTATCCTACCTTCCAGGGTGCAACCGTGTACATACGATAGACAGTCTTTCTAACATCTCCCAGTTCAAGTCACAATGCATTTCAAACCCAATTTTGTATCGAACGAGGCTAATGTGGAAAGACTCAACTGGAGTAGTTTTGAATCCCTTTCACGCAACTCCAACCAGTGTGACCAACAGCTTTATCGAAACAATTCCACAACCATTTGAATCTTTTCAGTGGATGAATGCTTGGCCTGACGAAAATAACGAACGGGGAAATCTGGTTTACGCAAATATGCACCAGAAACCAGAAAGTTTTGAGAAAGTGTCGTTTATTGCGCTTGGTTCTTTGCGTTCCTTTCCAAACCAACAGTTCCGGAAGCTGCAATGTGCTTTACTGAGCGACATATTGCCATGGTCACACATCTGTGTGAAAATCATCGTGCGGCAGGCATTGTATCAAATCGGAAGCCTTACGAATGAGATGGAACCCAAGTTCATTTGGAAGACAGACATGCTGCGCTGTCGAAAAGGGTTGGAAACGTTTTGTGCTACGCTTAGTTCTATTGCTAATCGACTAGAGCATACACCCCGCTGTTTTGAGACCATTCCACTTCTTAGTGAGCTGGCTGGGTATCTGCATCAATTTACAGACGTCGCAAAGCCTCTTGTGCGATTGTTTTCTAGAATGGCAAGGCACTGGGCAGAAAATTTACATTTGGAAGAAGAAAGCGACCAATCTTCCGATCGAATGGTCACTCTCCGTCAGAACAAGTGTATTTTGTATGGCTACGCGCTGCTAGCCTGTACATTAGGACCACTGGACGATGCAGCGTCTCGGGAAGTTTGCGAGCTGGTTGTATTGTTTCGCACGTCTTTCTTGTGTGCTCGTATCGTTTCCCCCGCTACTGAGCATATGCTTTGTGTTGAAAGTCAGATTACTGAAATAATGACTCGACGGATCGTAGATTTGGTTTCATACGTCGAAAAGAGCGGTAGAGGGCCTGTGCTAACATCTCTGGTGAGTTTGATAAGTCCGATGTCGCCTGGTCAATTGGAGTGGACGCAAGCTTGTGAACAACGACCTAATGGAGAGAAATTTGGAAGTTCTTTTGAATCCCCAGGAGCTCTGTACGCTGTTAACCTCTGCACAGGCGTTGTTTTGGTAGATGGAAACGCTCCTAGCGGATTACCACCCGAAATTCAGGAACACGAGAGATTTCAGGCTCTTTTTGAACGCTGCAATTTTGAAGTCTTTTCAATCCGCGGCATGTTCCAATCTAAATCCATGTATTGTGGGCGATTGTACGAGTTTGCACTTCAAGAAGGTAACGAGCTTTTGGTTCAAGAGCTCTTCATTAATTCATTGCGTCGTATTAAAAGAACGCTACAGCTCTGCTCAGTCAGCTGGATTGAAGCATTAAGCGAACAATTTCCAGCTCAATTGTGGGAATTGTACTCTCACTGGTATTGGGTAGAGCAGAACTGTGTCCTCTTCCGACCAAAGGAGGCCAAACATCGTGAGGTGTATTTTATTGCTACATTTGATGACAGCGATACTTTGCAATGCTATAAAATACCTTTTAACGACATCAAGCGTCCGTACGACGAACTCATGAGTGATCTTACGGACTACGACCGGTTTGTTGCTCAAGAAGAATCTCTTGTCGATGTTCTTAGAGTGTTGACAAAGTTTGAGGATGCACAGTTTCTTCATTCATTGAGATCTTCTAAAGGCGTACTGATGATTGAGCTCCCTCGGTTCAAGCTGACGTTTTACCTCAACAGCAACATGCAATTTGAATCTGTGGAGAACAAAGGCTATATCTTGGCAAAAACGCAGCAGTTTAACGATTTTCTACCGAGGTTCAGGCGATACCTGCTACTCGACCTGAAAGACAAGTCGGACATATCACGACCAGAACTGCGTATGCTCGTTCCACTTGGTCTTGTCGAGGAATCTTCGGATGGTATGGTTGATATCAGGATTGATAGTAATGCGAGTACTCAACTGGATGTGGCATGTTATGATATTCACCGCCGTTTGAAGACGTTTGAAACTGAGACGATTGGTGCGAGATTGCAGTTAGCTGCAGTGTGTGCTCGAGCTGGAACGAATGTACCAAGCAAGCTACTGAACATGACTGGCGAAGAGATGACGGCACAAATTTTACGAGCATGTAGGTCAACTCGACCCTTTTCTGCCTCGGAAAGAGACGCCTTGCTGTCTATCTACAAGTTGAGTTACCGCGAACCAGTGGTGAAAATTCTGGTTGTAGCGTTGCTCACTGAGGCTGACCGGCAAGCGTTTCTCTTTGGACAAACGGAGACAAGCAGTACGATTAATACACAGATGGGAAGCAGTGACGAGAAAACAGAGTACGCAGATATGTGTATGAGGCAAGTCCAGCGCAACCCATTGCGTGCACAACTTCGTAACGACGAGGAAAGAATCATTCTTGGACACGTGCGGCATCTGTCAGCATTGACTTCAACTAAAGAAGTTGAATTGTCCGATTCACTTCCAGTAACCGACGACTATGTGAAGTCCATCGAAAAAGAGCTTCAGTTTTTTCTTCAGATTGAGGCTGACACAGCGAAAAAAGTCCCGCTACTACCGCTGGATAGCAGTACGAAGAACACGATGGGCAGAGAAATGCTGCAAGAGCTGCAAGTGAGCTGGAATAGCTACCACTCGCAGATTGAGCCGAAATTAAAGAATGAGCCCGGCCTGCTACTCGGCTCGTTTGAGACGCTACTGAGTGATGTATCATCTCAACGTGCAAAAATGGAAACGTATCTGTGGGAGTCCTATACAAAGGCTACGAGCAGTACACGTGATCGACTTCTAAGCCTTGCCAACTTTGTGCCGGTACTTACTGTATGTGATATTGTCCGCTGTGGTTTTGACGAAGAAACACTACACACACTAGTGCCGAAGTTGAGTGAGAAATCGAGAAAGGTGTTCTCACAAGGTATTCTCCAGTACATGGAGCTGTGTGTACTAGAAGATAAAGTAAAGAGGCTGATCTGGATAGCGAGTCGCAGTGGTGAGCTATCAGACGCTCAACTGATTGACGAACTTGCGAACATTCGTCAGTGGGAATCGACGGAATTTCCATACTGGTTGGCGTTTGAAGTGGAGGGTAGACTTCAGATTCGACACGAACAGTTTGTGATTGCTCGCCACCTCATTGATCGCCCAGGAACAGTTTGCCAGCTTAACATGGGGCGTGGTAAGACCAGAGTAATCTTGCCGATGCTGTTTCTCTATTTCACGCGCCGTCGTTCCACGCGAGTTGTTCGTGCGCACTTTTTGAGCCCATTGCTAAGCGAAGCAAGACAATTCATGCACCGATACTTGTCGGCTTCCAATGCTCAGCTGCGCCTTTTTTGAGCTGCCATTTCATCGCCATATTGATTTAGATACTCGAAGACTCGAATACATCCGCGATAAACTTCAAGAACTAAAGCTTTTTGGTGGCATTCAAATTGTATCTCCAGCAGATCGCATGTCACTAGAACTGAAGCGTTTGGAGATGGGCAATGATAAACCTATGGTGGAGATGCTGGACAAAATCCTTGACAGCGACCAGTTTGTGGATGTTATGGACGAGTGTGATGCACTGCTTCACCACAAGTATCATTTGGTGTATACGTTGGGTACTTCAAATCCACTTAGCAGCGCGGTTGAGAGGTGGACTGTTGCAGAGGCATTATTGCGAGTTATTGCAGATAAATCGCTTAATTCTCGAGTGGCAAATGTGCTCGAGGCACCGCATGTTTCGTGCTTCTCGCCAGACTACGCGTCTCGTTATGGTGCTTATACCGGAACTCGGCTTAACACCGTTGTAGAAAGCACTTCTCGCCTTCGGGACAAGCTAAAAACCGAACTGGTGCTAGATCTCCGTAATCACGCCCCAATTGAATTGATGTGGCTCAATGCAGTGAATGGTGACGCTATGGGATCGCTGGTTACTGCTATCACCGATTCGAGTATAAGTCTGCAGGAAGCACTTGGCGACCACATCCCAAATTTTATACCCTATCTTAGCCAGCTTATAGCAATGCGAGGTCTCGTAGCATTTGGTGTGTTTGAACACTGCATGGAGAAACGCTATCGAGTTGATTTTGGCCTTCCAGTTCCAGGCACACGACAGAAGAAAATCGCAATTCCTTTTCGTGCCGCGGATGTGCCTTCGGAGCGATCTGAATTTAGCCACCCTGACGTCTGCATCGTGCTCACACTACTTGCGTATTATCACAATGGCATGACAAAAGAAGAGATTAAACAAACGTTTCAGCTACTGTTGCGGTTGGATATCTCGGAGCAGAATCGACAATACAATGGATGGTTTGATAGTGTGAAGCTTGGCTTGAACAACGATGATCGGATGGCTCTTTCTGATGTCCGCCATATAAGTCTCGCCGATGCTCGACAGTTTGAGATGCTTTATAGAGTCTACAAATTCTGCATGGAGGCGATTAACTTTTACCTCAATACGTGTGTATTTCCAATCGATACTCAGCAGTATCCACAACGGCTGTCACGAACGGCCTGGAACCTTGCAGCAGGCGACCACAATATTGGGTTCTCGGGTACTAACGACAATCACCGTTTGCTTCCACTTTCAGTGACGCAAAAGGAGCCAAATGAGCCTTCACTGCTGGGAACGAATGGAAAGATGATTGACAAGATTCTGCAGGTGACACACAGTTACGAGGTGGTAACAACGAATCCAGAACGTGCACCAATTCCATGGCAAAGTGTTCTTCTCTTTGCACTGGACAAGAAAGCGCAGGCTCTTATTGATACAGGGGCGCTTCTTGCCGGAGTAAGTAATAACGGCGCAGCAGATTTTCTTTTGCAACAACCTGACTTTGACTTTGCTGGAGTGACATACTTTGATAGTAGAGGAGATCTCAACTGCTGGATGATAGCCGAAAAAACTCGACGAATCAAGGTGCCTTTGAAAAAAGCGTCGATGCTCGAGAAGGAGACGTTTGTGATCTTTGACGAAGCTCGCTCGCGAGGATCCGACATGAAGCTACTACCGAATGCTGCTGCCGTACTGACACTTGGACCAAAACTTACGAAGGACAAATTAATGCAAGGAGCGGGACGAATGCGGCAGCTTGGATGTAACCAAACGCTATGGATTGCAAGTTTTGATAAGGTTGCACAGAGTATTCTTCAGACGAGTGGTCAGCAAAAACTATCCTGTATTTCTGCAATTGATGTGCTAAATTGGGTCATGGATAACACGAAAGCAGAGGCTGTGCGTGGGCTGCTCGAGTGGGCAGGTAATGGTATACATTTTCGCGAGACCCAGTTACACCATGACAAAGAATTGGTTGACGAGAATTGGTCTTTGGAGACACTATATCAAGAGAAGGTGTATGTCGATCAAATTGCTTGTCTTATTGAGTCAAAGGCTCGGTTTGAGTTCGAAGGTGTTGACGACGAATTGGTCTCGAAAATATGCCATCGAGGTTTTGCTTACGGGCTTGATGACGTAATGCGTTTTACCTCGCATAGCGGTGAATGTCAGCGAGAGATACATGAGGATGAAAAAAAGCAGCAAAAGGAAAAAATCGAGACGGCTGAAATTAAGCCTATGAAAGAGGAGACCTGGGTCTACTCTAAGATTCTACGAGCTCGGTCAGTGGAGGATCTCCGCCACGTAGTACCAGTGGTGTCAATTGAGAGCTACATTCGACAACAGATCTCCCCGGCAGCTTTAGGAGACTTGGCTTGGACTAGCACGAGCATCTTTGGGACGAAAAATTTCTTTGCGACGATTGTAATACCGGAAAATGACATGGACGGTATGACCGAGTTTCTACGCGTGATCGATGTCTTGCTAGTATTTGACAGTGGTCAAGTGCTGCTTGTGTCAGAGTGTGAGGCAGATCACATTTTAGATTTAATGTGGTCATCCCAATTCAACGCTTCCGCCACTTCTTTCGACTTGTCGTTCTGTTTCATGAATTTTGCCTTTGCGTGCGAAAGTATTGATCGCATTGGGGCATTGGGAAATTTACGACGTAATGGCACTTGGCTCCAAGCTAAATAAATATGTTTCATTATTGTCAACGACAGCTTGTCACGTATACAATGGTGAAACGATGTTCGCAAAACAACAGCAACGTGTCGTGGAGCCTGTATTACGTAATTTACTTCGTCCACGCACCCAACGAGAGACAATGCTTAGCAACTTTGTGAAATCACGTGGCAATGACCACAAATGGAAATGTTCATTCCTGCACGAACTTTGCTGTCAGATGGATCTGGAAGAATGCAATTGGTAAAGATTGAGTCAAAAAAAGTTTATAGCTTTGATTCTATAGTTAATGAAGTTTCAATTACCTGTTGAGTGTTAGCTAACAATTAGCAATAACGCTATATACAAGATGGTAGCAAGATATTCTGATAGCTACAAATGCACACATTCAATAATCGGTTTCGCTGCACGGACGACATATGGTAAATTTACATGTCTACGTCAAGTGTAACTGTCAAGGTGTCTTGAGGAGCAACCAGTACTTAAGCTTCTCTAGTGTATGAAGCATACAAAATCCAAGATCAATATCGCTGCTCGATGACACAAAGTATCTTGAACGAATAAGAAGGAATGATCGATTGATTACCCGATTGTTTCGACTTGTCAAGGTAGTTGATAACTTCAACCGCACCTCCTTTTTTTAACCTGATTACTGCAGCTCTCGCAATGTACACTGTATGAATGAATATGACGACCGGACGTTTTGAAATAATGTTGCACCTCACTGCCTCTACACTTGAAGCACAGCATTGACTTCGTTCATAATTTTCTACAGTTTAATTGACGATCAGGTCCACTAGATGAATAGCAACTGTAACTATGAGATTAATTACCTTAGAGCGTGTAGACAGACGCATGGAAGAGATACAGGACGGGTTAAGGTTTACAGATGACGTCCAGTGGTTTTGTCAGTATGTTTACCTGCTAAGTATCTATACAGTAGAAGATGCTTGAAGTTATGATGACGTCTCAGGAAGGACAGATTAGGCAGCAGACGAACAAGGGGACTAACCTATTACGCCCAGTCAATGACGTACATGTTCAGCTTTGTAAGGTTGAAGCTGTGGCTAGTATAGCTGTGGCTAGTGTAGCCATGGCTAGTGAAGATATGGCAATTGCAGCTGTCATTATTTAGTGTGATGATGGAGAACACGGGAGCCGTGAACACGCTATTACAAAATAGAGCAAAAATTTGGAAGAATAAAAATGTCTTACATATGTAAGCTACGAGAATCCACAGCGGCTGTCAAGCGCTGTCGGATGCTTTCTCATAGCAATTTGAAGCTTCGTGCATGTCATTGGGTAGTCAAGTACTAGAACTCATTATTGCAGGAATCACAATTTTATCGTGAGGAGCGTAGAATAAGCTTGCTAATGGTGCAAAATTATCCTCATTCGTTACGGTTCATGTAGTAAATGTACTTGTTCGTGAATAAGAAACAGGCTTTATTAGCGTGTCTTCCCTCATGCCAGACAAGGTAGCCTGGCTCACCACTGCAACACCGCCGACGCGCATGACCACTGGATATTGTACAGTATAGCGTAGACAGTACAATCGGCTTCATGTACATGTAGAGCTGGTGCTATGACGCATATGATACTGATTTTTTGGTCGAGATCCCTTCCAACGCCGTAAACAAGGCTATATGCTGTACCAGTTGAGCTACGTGTGCAATGTAGCACAGCGAAACTGCAACCGCATATCAAACAATTCAATCTGAATGGTAAGCAGACGAGCATTAATATTCGGCTCAATTTGAACATACGATGGTGGGTATCAGTGTGCCACTAATACAAGTAATGTGCCCATAGAACTGTAATTAAATCTCACTTAGGACATCATCTCGTCTCTTTGGATGCTGCATAGGTGTTGCCAAATGAGTTGCTTTGAATGGCTTTGGAGCTGTCACGTATTTACTAATCACGGCGTGAAAGTCTTATGAACGACATACAAGAGAAAACGATGTCTTTGCTCAACAAGAGCGTGCGAAATGTCAGCTGGGTGGCTGCTTTCAGACGATGACTTGCGTTTCAGACGTTATCATGCTGCACTATCTGAACTTGGTGGTTGGTTAGCTTGATACTGTTTAAACATGTTGAAGCAATTGGGACTCGACTGTTTGCATTCCGGTAAAGGGTGAAACTGGTAGACTTTGTTTTCTCTATGCTCATTCTCTAGCACGTGAGCGGGGGCACACGATTGTGTGACCCAAACTGGGCGGGAAAAAGAAGCCGTAGTTAAACTCCTGGTCCGTTCTATCTATATACAATGCAGAAAACGGTGATGCTTTAGCAATTTCCTGTAAGTATTAGGTGTTCTTGTATAATATCACTTGCGTTATAAATCATCATATATTTGCTCGTCATTTGAGTCAAAACAATACCTGTAGAATACAATAATATGGCTACCTTCTTGCCGTATCTTGAGCCATTCCATATAATTTTGACCTTTTAAATGTAATGATCTAATATATTAGATTGCCAGTAGAAAACAATCCTAGCGTTACAGATTTGCTCAGATTTTATGGACCGCAGATACTGATAAATCTGGCCTTTTTTTATCGTTGCGACATGTTTGACACCAGGAAGATCCAGAAACAGTGCAGGGTTGCTATTTAAGACGAGGAGATCCATCAGACGCGAAACCACTGGTAACGCATGGTCTCGTCAACCACTCGAGAGATGAGAATGAATTCATTTAAGAATTTCCATTCTATCCGTCAAACACGAATTCGATAATCATTTTAATCATGGTTCGATGGTGTTTAAGAATATTATCATTGCTCATACTAGGAACCTTTGGGTCACGACAAGTACATGCTGCAGCAGCTAATCAAATGGACTTTGACGCATGTCCTATTCGTCATAGTCCAGAATACTATTGTTGTAAGATTTCAGAGACTACTAAAGAGCTCTTTACGAAATATAATCGTCCATATGGTGGTGACTATGAGTCGTATTATGTTGAAGGATGGAGTAAGCAACGTCAAGTGAATTTTCCATACACCATGTATCATCCTGATACTCCGAAATTCTATTACAATGAACCTGATACAATATGTCGAGTCCAAGCTATTGTCAATCCGAAAACAGGCGAGTTAATTGAAGAACTTCAGTGTGCTAACACGAACTCTTCACTTGCTGCAGCTTCACAGAACAACACTGTTTTCTGGTCGTATGCGGCCAATGCACGCAATAATAATGCCACATTCCCTATTGGTGCTACTTGCTATAGTGTGATGTTACCTGATGGTACAATTGACACGGAAATGAAAAACTTGTGTACGTCGATTTCGACAGCTATTGCACCACGATTTACCACGTTTACCGAGACTCCACTGGTGATCATTTACCTTTTATATCTTGCCTTCTTCTTGATTCTTGGAGCTTGGGTTGTGTACAAGAAAATGAAGCAAAATGCCAACAATTTGATAAACGAGATGTATAAGAAACTTATTTCAACGCCACAGACACCGTCAAGAGCTGTTGCTGGTAATGCAAATGGTGCTTATACTGGTGTTCGAGGCTCAGACTCGCGGATTCAATTTGAAGCGTCCGAGGACCTTCTTCAAACAGGGTTCTCAACTTCTCACCTTGGTACATTTGTGTTTGGCTGTGTCGTGACAGCATCGCTTGCCTTAAATGTACTCTTGATCATTATTATCGTTGACTCCTATGGCAATTTTGACCCACCGCTGTTTGATGGAACGGAGGATAATGCACTTGTGTTTATTATTATGTGGGTCATCACCGCCATTTGGTTTGTCGTCGTTGTGACCTTGCAAGATCGCATTTTTAACTTCTTTCGCCTCCGTGTGCCACTCGACCAGTGTGACTTTGTCTACATGCTTAAGCGTGACGAAACGGAAGTGCTGCTTGCAGATCAATCGGGCGTGTCGGACTTTGTGGCCAAGGTCGAGAATTATTTTGCGCCTAAGGGGAAGCTTAGCGGCTACCGCACCACAGTACCAGTTGTGAAGGTAGACGGCCTACGTCTTGTGGAGTTTCAGCACTTGCGATACATTTATGAGGAGACTGAACACCGCTTTGTGCCCGGTGCCGTTGCACTCGGACGGACCTACGATGAAATAAACCGAGAAGCTCGTGGTCTGACGGATGCAGAGGCCAAGCATCGTATTAACACGGTGGGGCCTAACTCTGTCGATGTCGAAATGCCATCTCTTTTGGTTTCCATGGCTCATGAGTTCTTCACGCTGTTCTACATCTACCAGATCATGTGCTACTATGTCTGGTACTACTTCACTTACTGGAACATGGGTATTGTCATGACGATTGTAGTTTTGGGAGCTGCTGTGGTGAACATTTACACGCAGCGTCAGATTCAGTCCTCGATCGTCGAGATGACTCGTTACCGCACCGACGTAAAGGTGTTTCGCGATGGTAAATGGCGCACAGTATCATCACATGATCTGGCTCCCGGTGATCTTGTGAATGTGCCGGAAGACTGGTTGTCACCGTGTGATATGGCTATCGTGAAGGGTACGACTGTGTGCGATGAGTCTATGTTGACGGGTGAATCGATGCCCGTGCAAAAGTTTCCAATACCGGAGCGCAGCTCGGATACTTACGACCCTGAGAAGGGCAGCAAGAAGCACACGTTGTTTGCTGGTACTCGCGTCCTGTCTTCGGGTCGCAAGGAGGAGATCCTGGCTATTGTACAGACTACGGGTGCGCACACGACCAAGGGTCAGTTGATCCAGTCGATTTTGTTCCCAATCCCAATGCGCTTCAAGTACAACGAGCATCTCAAGGTTTTGATCACGCTTCTTCTCATCTACGCTGTAATTGCATGCATTCTTGTGATCAGTTTTCTCCTCAGCAATGGCAAGCTAAGTAACCGATACGCTGCGTTCTGCTACGCCGTCTTCGTACTGTCCTGTGTCATCAGCCCGCTTCTTCCTGTTGTTATTACGGTCGGGCAAGTAAATGCCTCTCAGCGACTCGAGAAGCAAGGCATCTTCTCGCTTAACGTTCAGCGTATTACTCTCTGTGGCAAGGTGCGCATCTTTTGCTTTGACAAGACGGGCACACTCACCAAGCAAGGCCTCGACTTCCTCGGTGTTCAACCCGTCAAAAACTCCAGGTTTTTTCCCCTTGTAAAAGACGCAAAGGAAGCATCTTTGTCCGAAGAGCTACTATACGCGCTAACAACGTGCCACTCCGTGGGCTCACTGGAGGATCGTCTCGTGGGCAATGAGGTGGAGGTGCGTATGTTTACGTCCACGGGCTGGGAGCTCATTGAAAAAGAAGGTGAGCAGCCGTATGTGCGGTCAAATGTAGATCCGGGACTTGAGCTCGAGTTCATTAAGCGTTACGACTTTGATCACCACCGCATGTCTATGAGTGTGGTGGTGCGCAACCGTAGGACCGGTAATTTTTACGTATTCTGCAAGGGCTCCTACGAGCGGATGCAACAGCTAAGCACGCCTGCTAGCGTACCCGATGACTACAAGAGCGTAGCAGATCGTTTGGCGAAGGAGGGGTGCTACGTGTTGGGTCTGTCATACCGCAAGCTACCTAGCAACTGGACGCAAGAGCAGGTGGTGGAATTTGCCAACAACCGCGAGGCTGTGGATGAGAATTTGTCACTCCTCGGTTTGATCTTGTTCCGTAACGAATTGAAGGAAGACACAGCCGACGCCATCGCAAAGCTTAAAGGCGGTGACATCCGTACGGTCATGGTCACGGGTGATAATGCAATGTGCGGCTGCTACATAGCGCGTCAAAGTGGTATGCTGTCGTCAGCCTCGCGCGTGATTTTGGGCGAAATGGTGTCGACGACGAAGTTGAAGATGCTGGTGTGGCGTGACGTGGACTCGGACGAGGAGTACGATTTGTCTACGGTAAAGCACCTGGTCGAGCAAGTTGAGGACGTAGAGCTGGCTGTGACGGGTTCGGCGTTTGATTACCTCGTGGCTAGGGGCGAGATCAAGGAACTGTTGCTGAATATTCGTATTTTCAGTCGCATGACACCCGACGGCAAAGTAGAGTGCGTGAAGCTGCATATGGAGACAGGGGCAGTGACAGGAATGTGTGGTGATGGTGGCAATGACTGCGGTGCGTTACGTTTCGCTCACGCAGGTGTCGCTCTCAGCGATGCGGAGGCGTCAGTGGTGTCGCCATTCACGAGCAGGGAAAAGTCAATTCAATCGGTGGTTGATCTATGCCGTGAAGGCCGCTGCAGTGTGGCAACATCTTTCGCATCTGTAAAGTTTCTCATCATGTACGGTCTCATTGGTTCGGTACTTCGATTGTTCATGTACTTTCACGCCATCAACTTATCGCAGTGGTGCTGGATTTTGGTGGAGGGTTTTATGCTAGTCGGGTGCTCGTACGTCATTACGCTGTCAAAGCCGCTAGATGAACTGAAACCTTTTCGCCCGACATCAAGTCTTATTGGTCCGACCACGTTGGCCTCGATCCTCGGCCAGGAGGCAATCAACGTCATTTATATGAGCTGCTGCATCCACATGCTATCAAGTCAAGTCTGGTACTGCCCATTTTCGCCTGACGATGTGGATGTTGCAAAGTGGTGGCTCATGTCAGACAACCACTTGGCGACCGTGCTCTTCTTTTCTGTTATTTTCCAGCAACATGTTGCAGCATGGGTTTTCAGCTTTGGGTCAATGTACCGCCAGCCAATTTGGCGCAACTATCTCCTCCTCGCATTCTTTGCAGCGGTTGGAAGTCTTGACTTGTACTTGCTTTTTGGTGAGCAAAGTATCATCACTGACCGTTTCCGAATTTCAAGCAGTACGAATGTTGTTGGACTGCCTGATATCCCCATGCCCATGAGCTTTCGATGGAAGTTCATGGGTTTGAGCCTGGGCAATATCTTGACGTGTATTCTCTTTGAATACATTGTTGTGCTAGGCCCTGTACGCTCCTACTTTCGCAACAAGTATCACATTGATTTGATTCCAATGAAGAAATAAAAGTCTCACGAGAATGGCGATGAATAGATTTCATCACCTCATTTTTACGTGCAATTTCAAGGATGGATGAAATCAAATTCCGTCGACTGACTCATGTTTTTGCTTGTCTTGTTTTTTTTACATAGTAAACGTGTTAATAAACAGTACTTTTGTATGACGATAGGACAAGATCATTTATGATCGTTGGTTATAAAGTATCGTTAGGACTTCATTTCGAGATAAACGTGATGGTTTTTTCTTAGCTTTCTTTCAACATGGTTTCATGTTGTTTCTTACATGTGTGATTCAAGAACTAGCATAAAATATATACCAAGGGGATGTGAAGACAAATAAATATAGAGTCAGGATTGTCTGTTTACATTTCAGTACAAGATAGCTGATATTCCACAGCCATGCCAAGAATGTCGGAATCGTAGACCGCGCCACGTCTCCTTAGGCCCTGTCCCATGAGGATCGCCGACCTCCCTTGGTGTCTGAGTTAAGATCTCAAGACACGCATATCATTTGGCACCGCAAACAACAGTTCCCGCCCTGCGGTATGCGCGTTTGGCAACGGCCTCTAGCTGCCGCACCGCTTCTGCTTAATAAGTCAGCCCTCCTTTGCGAGTCGTAACCATATCACCTCGGAAAATTGCTGCAAGCGACACATCCAGAGGCTTGTGATCGCTACTGCACATAGAATCGTCCAGCAACGAGCCTATTCCGCCCAAAGTCGCCCGGCTCACCGGGTATCACTAGTCGACCATCCGTCGGATGTATTCCGGCAGGGGCGGCCGTGTCCTAGTCGCGCACGCGCGTTTCCATCGCTGCAGACACCCGGGTGGGATCCAAATGCTTTTCCAGCGGCTGATGAGTTGCGCCTATGTCGCTTGATCAAACGGGCAGCTCCAGAATCAGTGATCGTACGTCTCGTGTAACGGGGTTACACGAAGGTGTGTATTTTACATACACACCTGCCACACCAATGTGGTGTGGCTGTACCTTGGGTACAGAAGTAGGTGATGTGACCGTACCTGAAGTACGAAGAGCCGAATCGTGGCAGAGAGCCACGTAGTCACTATACTTATTCAAAGTATAGTCTCTATGCATATTTGCATAAAAAAACAGGCTATAGAGCCAGTAAATAGTGACTAGCACTAAATATAGAGTAGGGTGCTTCTGTATTTAGTGTATATTGATAAACATGAATACAAATCAGTTTTAAACCTGCTCTGTAAGCATTACTGCTTGAGCGTTCATTTCCTTTTAAGGAATCAGTATCTTTGATACTAGTCTCTCTGAGGCTCGGTTGTTAATATCGATAGGCACAAGCTTACGAGTTAGCCTAGGAGGGTTAAACACCCTAAGACGTAGAAGCTCTCTGAGCTTGTCTTCCTCTGCACATAGTGCATAAATAGCTTTGCTACAGTAGTCGGACTACTTCTTCTGCACATAGTGCATCTGCACATAGTGCATAAGTAGCGTAGCTACAGTAGCTCGGCTACACCTGGTAGCACTTGTAGCCAATCCCGCCTACTTATGCACTATGTGCACATAGTCCATCTG